AAAGAGCTGGATCCCCCAGCACATCACAGCAACGCACACTGCCGACAGTAACATGACTGTGCATGCTAACGTGTGTCCTCCTCCTTCCTGATGACCCAGCCTTGCATCTGCATGGCCAAAAGCTTTTTGGTTGAGGTTCTGATGGAGGAGCTTGGGCAACTCCTCTGGCAGGATACAGTCCATGTAGGTGAGTGCAAGAACCATGATGGGTAGCAGGCCAGGGAAAGGTACCCACCGGCATACATTTGGCATAGGTTGGGGGCAGACCAGGCTCAACCAGTTAATATCACCTGCTGGCGAATCCAAGCACCAGAACAGAGTATGGGTTGGGCCAGGTATGGTTGCAACACATACCAGTGCACATTACAGCTGGGATTGGATGCCTGGTGGGCTGGGCTAGGCTATAACTCATCATTGTCAGCTGGAATTGGGGATGGACTGGTCTGGGCCAGGCTACAACACCCACTGGCAAATGCCAAGGTGAGGTGAGCTGTACCAGACTGGGTCACAGTGCCCAACCAGCACACGTGAGAACCAGGGAGGGAGAGAGGGGGCAAAGCCAGTAGGGGGAATGTGGAGGGTTCCCCTGCTGGACAGCCACTCCCACTGGAGAGCGTGAGCTGGGATGGGGGCAGACCAGACCAGGCAGGGCTACAATACCTGTGGGCCTCATATGAGCTAGATCAGGGAAAAGCCAAGCTGGGCTGATTGTTCCTACTGGTACAAGCATAAACTAGAATGGGTGAGGGTTGGTTGGACTTTGCCACAGCATCAGCTGGCAGATGCTGGCACTGGAGGCTCATTCTGTCAGGTTAGACTCCAGAACCACCTGGAGAGTGCATAATCCGGGAGTGGGAGTGGTCTAGGAGGGAAATAATGGGCACCTCCTTCTTGGGTTACCACTCCCACTGGAGAGCGTGAAAACCAGGATTGGGGCAGGGGTAGCTGGACAGAACAGCACCCTCCAGTATGTGTGTGGGCTGGATAGTAAAGTAGGTTGGGTTGAACTAGGTTTCAATGCCCATTGACATGTATGAGAGCTAAATGGGATGTGGGACAGACTGAACAAGCCTGTGGTACATACTGGCATGCATGGGGACCAGGGAAGGGGCAGGTCTGGTGGGAGTTATGGGGGGGGGGTGCCCCGAGCAGGCTGCAGCTCCCACTGGTTTGTGTGAGGACCAAGTATGAAGTGGGCAGGATCGAGCTGGACTGCAACACCCATCAGTTCGCATGGAAGACAGGGCTGGAAACACAACTGACCCAGCAATTGCAAACACCAGCATAAGCTGATTGGGGTGACGGACAGTGCCAGACTGTACACTGGCAAGCTCACACAAGAATAAGGTCTGGGATCACATCAGATGAAGTTTCTCTGGGGATCCCTCCAACTAAACTGCTGATCTCAGAACCCCAACCATGAAGAGACTATGTCAATCAGTGGATTCTGAATAGATTTCATCGTGATTGGAACGGTGGGATTGGCTGCAATTCAGAACTGCTGAACTATCAATACTGCATGAGCAGGACCCTCGGAGCATGCCCCACATTGGGGACCTGGGATGGGTGGGAGGCTGGGTGGGGCTTTTCCCTTTATCTCTTCCCTTACCCCAGATACAGAAAAAAAAAATATTAATGTGGAAACAATGGTCTTACCCACCTTCATGTAGCCTTTGACCCTCTGTGCCCTAATCAACTACGTAGATTACCAAAATAAGAGAATTAAAAAAAAAATTAAACCCATAGTTTCATTTTTGACGGACACAGTGACTGTACTTTTTACAGGGTATAGTGTGATGTTTCAGTATGTGTACAAAGTGTGGAATGATGAGATCAGGGGAAGCGGCGTATTTGTCACCTCACTTACCATCTTCTTTGGTTTGAATCATGTGAAATCCTGTCTACCAGCTGTTTCGAAATGTCCCATTAGTTGTCTCCTGTGCTATGGAACATGGGAAGCTATTCCTCCTCTCCAGAGGCACCCCTGCACTCAGCATCCTCTCCCCAGCCCCCTGTGCCCTCCCAGGCCTTGGTAGCTGCCACTGTGTTCACTGCTGCTGTGAAGTCAACATTTAGCCTACACACAGGACACAGATGCTCCTCTTAACATAATGTCCTCTGCTTGTCTGAGACTCACTGCAAGTGATGGCATTTCACTGTTCTGTGGGGAGCACTATTCCACCGCATACAGACGGGTACACCACATTGCCTGTCCAGTCAGCGGTCGATGCCCAGGGACACTGCGCTGTTGTGACTGGGGCTGCAGTGAACCCGTGAGTGCAGTCCCTCAGCAGCCTTGGGGGTGAGGGTTCAGTTCCCTGCCCAGACTGTGATCCTTGGGGATTGCGAAGCACTGTAAACCTTCTCATGGCACTAAGGACTAAGGAGGAGCCTCCACGGGCTTCCTGAGGCCCCGAAAAAAGGGAGTCCCTGGCCGCAAAGGATCACCATGTTGTCCCAGGAGAGGGGCTGGGGCTGCTGGCTGGGTCCCTACCTATAGCAGGGAGCCCCAGAAGGTCACACTGGCCAACAGTTCCCCAAACAACATTCCAGTGATGGCCATTTTTTTTTTTTCAAGAAAAAAGTCACAAGGGCCCAACTCAGAGATCCTGTGTGGACTCACAGCCTACACTTCAGACACTTCAGGCACTGCAGGCTGGCCTTCCCAGCAGCGCTGTATGTTTCCAAGGAATTAATGCCCTTTTCAAATTACTTGCGACTCTTACATGGGAGACCAGGGTACTGGCTCCTGGCCTCAGCTTGACTCATTTGCAAGTTTTTTTGGGGGGGTGGGGGCAGAAATCAGTGGATGCAGATTTCCCATCCCTTCCGTCATTCTGCCTTTGAATAAACCAATCTTAAAAAAAAAAAAAAAATTAAGTGTGCCTCTGCGTTGCCTTACAGCGCCACCTCTTGGGTGCAAGTTGAAAATTAGCTTCTCTTGTTTATAATGTCAGGTAACTGGGTTTTAAAATTTCTATTGTGCACCAGTTCAAAAACTACTGCAACAAATCTAGAAATCTGTGCTGGGATGCCGGCAGCCCACAGCTCAGATAAACTGCTTCTTTAGTGACTACAGGTGCCAGCTCTGTCTTCTCTCCCTCCATCCCAGGCTGGAATGGCCCTCAGCCAACCAGGAGCCAGAATCGCCACGTCCGCCTGCTTTCCTTCCCCAGGTTCTAGGCGGGCAGGCCAGGCAGACACAGCCACCAGGCTAGTCAGCTGTCCTCCCATCAGGCGGTCAGGGCCGGGGTGAGAGATGACAACACATGGGCAGCCCAGGCTGCATTCCTGGCATGGGGCACGTGTGGCAGCTGGAGTCCGTGTCCTTGGCTTGGGCCTCTCCATGTTCCTGAGGCAAGATCAGGGCCCCGCTGAAGACAGCCACGCTAACTGCACTGCAGCACATCAGGACTGGGTCTCAGCCAGTACCCTCGCAATGGGGGAGCGGGAATGGACTTGGGGGGCAGAGGCTGGGGAAGTGCGGTAGGACTGCTGAAGGCTGCCACGTTTCCAGGCAGAGAACCATGCTCTGAAATATTGTCCGCAGCCAGTTCCTTCCTTAACAAATAGTGTCACATGCCATTAAGTTTATTTGCTTGTTTTAAAACAGAATAAGGAAGAGAACATCCACACTAAATTCTGCTCACTTTAAATGAGGATCATTATTGTTGAAATCGCTAGTTCCCACCCAGTAACCGTTCCTGTCCTCATAGCTTCATCACCAGCCTAGCAGGGGCTTCCCCACGTCCAGCTCGCAGGTGTGTGGAGCCTGTGCTGTAGCCTGGCGTTCCCTGACCACGTGGCCAGCCCAGAGATGAAGGGGCAGGGGAGGCAGTTTTCAGAGGACACACCAGGCTGTCCTGAGTGGTGTTTCTGAGAACATGGGACCTTGGCCTCCACAAGGCGGGGGGACCCAGGGAGAAGCCAGCATTGCTCGAGTCGGGAGCAAGAAGGATGTGGGCCCTTCCCGGCATCACTGAGCTGCCACCTCAGCCACCGAGGGCACCCTGTCCCTGCATGTACACCCCATTACTGCCTCAACTGCCGAGCGAACCCTGTCCCTGGAGTGCAGTTACCCTCTTACTGCTTCAGCCACCGAGGGCACCCCGTCCCTGCATCTCACACCCCATTACTGCCTCAGCCCCTGTGGTACCCCAACCCTGGAGCCCACACACCCTCTTACTGCTTCAGCCACCGACTGTTCCTGTTCCTGGAGCCCACATGTTCCCTCTTATTGCCTCAGCCAGGTGGGCGTTTCTGGGACTTCCCGAGAAAGCATCCCAAGTGTGACCCACGAACAAACACAGGTACCATGGTTTTACAGCACACGGGGCCAGCGCGGGAAAGGTGGGGATGCACCTTATAATGAACCAGAAGTCAGCAGTGTGCCGGCTCCAAACACAAAGAACCGACCCGTGTGAAGGGACAGAAACGCTAATTACTCCACACCGATCCCCCACAGTGCACGCACCCCACAGGCACACTTCTGGTCCTGCTTCCCGTTGCTGTGCCTGGCGGCCAGCAGATGATAACTCCAGCACTGGAGCTCCTGCCACTTGGTGCGGGGCACGGAAGCAGTTCCTGGCTCGTGGGTTTGGTCTGGCCTTTGAGGAGTGAACCAGCATATGGCACATAATTCACTTTGCCTTTCACATAAATGTTTACAAATTTTCTTTAAAAATTATGGGGAGGGCCTGATGTGGTAGCCTAGTGGCTAAAGTCCTCACCTTGCATGCACCAGGATCCCATATGGGCACTGGTTCTAATCCTGGTACCCTCGCTTCCCATCCAGCTCCCTGCTTGTGGCCTGGGAAAGCAGTCAAGGACGGCCCAAAGCCTTGGGCCCCCGCACCTGCACGAGACACCTCGAAGGGGCTCCTGGCTTTGGATCAGCTCAGCTCCGGCCATTGCGGCCACTTAGGGAGTGAACCAGCGGATGGAAGATCTTTCTCTCTATAAATGTGACTAAGAAAAATAAATAAATCTTAAAAAATGAATAAATAAAAATAAAATTTATGGGGGAAAAAAAGTGGGTACATTCTTAGGTTTAGCCGATGTAAAACAGCACATCTGGGACAGTATGGCACAGTTGAAGACGGGGCAGCTGAGCATGGCCTAAGCCAAGCTGTGCCGTGAATGTGCGCCGTGGCCTTGAACACACCACCTAACTCTGGTCACCCTTGTTCCCAGCAGCAGGAGAGAGAGTCGTGCTAGGTGAGTGGCTTGCGAGCCTCTGAGCAGCGGCAGTGTTTATTACTGGCCCCTCTCACGAGGACATTGTTCTGAGGCACTTGCTAGACAAGGCGAGGACCACCAGCAGCTCTGGGGAAAAGCAAGGGCAGCCGGCCCCCCTTACCTAGCAGTTACTGCAGCGTGCGCCGACGGTGCCACTGTAGGCATGACAGCGGCGGAAGCTTTTCCAAATGCCAGAAACAGCTCCCAAGTCCTCCTGTTTCTTTTCTGGATCTTTGGAGGTTCCCAGGAAACCCAGGCTTACTGCGGAGGAAGGAGCTTCGGCGGCCTCTTGGAAATCATTAACGTGAAATGAGTCTTGGCTATTCTTACTTTTTTACAAGATGTTCAAAATCACTGTGAAAACACCTAAAAACAGATTTTGGGCCTGTAGGCAAACATTCTGAGGCACAAGGTGGGAGTTGAGCGTGGTGGGGCGGATGACCCGGGCAGGGAGCGGCCCCCGAGGCCAGATGCAGACAGCACTGCCAGCGTCCACCCGCGGTGATTGCTTCCAACCAGCCCAGGCAGGAGCTGTGCATGGGTGCCACCCGGCAGGCTGTGACCTTGAGGTGCTCGCTCACTCCTATGCAGGCGCAGCCCTGTGCACGTGGAAGGGGTCATCCTGGCAAGTGGATCTCCGTGCACGTGGAAGGGGTCCAGCAGCAACTCCTGAGCGTTTTTCTGTTGCTCTGTGGTGGAGGCCACGGGCTCTAAGTCCAGGCCGGTCAGGGATTCCAGGACCTGCCCTCCTCGTGCAGTGATCTGAAAGCTTCTGTGCTCTTCTGAGTCTCACTCACAAACCTGTTTCCTCCATGTTCTTCTGTGCACTTTTTGCCCATTTAACAGTCTGCTTCTCAGGATGCAATTTCACTGCTTGCTCTCATTGCTTTTCAGCTTCCTGTTTTAATTTCCCCAGGATCTCATCTGGAGTTGTAGAGGCCAAGAGCTTCACCACCTTCTCACGAGATTTACCGCCCTGGACCAGAAGGGAAGATACACTGAGAACCGTCATGTGCGAGGGCCCCAGCCCTTGGCTGTCCCTTGGGCAGCCATGGCCTCAGAGGGTTAAACACACAGGCTCCGCTCTCACAGGTGCCCTCTGGTCTAACCTGAGACTCTGAAATGCTACCTTGCTGCAAATTTTTACAACGTTCCAAGGCCTTACCTTTGCCAACTGCTGTAATAGTGAAAGCTAGCTATTAAAACTTGACGGGGGAGGAGTGGGGAGTGGCAGGCCTAGTGGCATGGTGAATTAAGCCACCGTCTGATACCCAGATCTCAGAGCACCACTGAGTTCTGCACTTGCCACCCAACTGCATGTTGATGCATTCTGGGAGACAGCCGCCCACGGTGCAGGTGCGGGAGCCCCTCCCCCACGTGGGAGACCCACAGGGCTTTCACAGGTGTGTAAGCATTTGTGAAATGAACAAGTGGACAGAAATGAAATGCACTCTTTCCATCTTCCTTGTTCTACCACTCCGCCTCTTCAATACATGAAAACTATACAAACTTTTGGGGACAGGTTATGGCGCAGTGGGCAATAAAAGTCACTGCCAGCCGGAGGCCCAGCTGCTCCGCTTCCAGTCCGGCTCCCTGCTCATGGCATAGGCAAAGCAGTGGAAGATGGCTCAAGTGCTTGGGCGCCTGCCACCCACACGGGAGACCTGGGAGAAGCTCCTGGCTCCTGGCCATCGTGGCCATCTGGGGAGTGAGTGAACCAGCAAATGGACGGTTGTTTTTGTCTCTTCTCTGTGACTCTTTCAAATTAGCAAATAAAAATAAAAAATTTTTGAAATGAATTAGATAATCCAGATTTACAAAATTCCAGTTGCAAGTAATTCTTCTAAATTAAAAAAAAAATTTTTTTTAACGCCAAAATAGATATCACGATTTTACAGACTTTGCAGTAAAATAATTTTAAATACAAACAAACTACTACTATCCTCCATTGGCACACATTTCTGGAAACAGCCCAGCGAGCTAGGCAGGACGTCTTCTCTTCCCGCCCTCAGCAGCAGGGCAGGGCCAGGCGGACGCCGGAGCCTGGAGCGCCACCCGGTCCCCCACAGGGCAGCATGGACCCAGCTCCTTCAGCCAGCACTCCTCGCCCCCAAGATATACACTGGTAAGAAGCTAGAATTGGAGCCGGAATCAGGAATGAAATCCAAGCACTCTGATACAGAATGTGTGTTTTTGGTTTTTTTTTAATATATTGATTTGAAGGGAGGAATTAGAAACAGAGATCTCCCATTCACCAGTTCACTGCTTCTGAAATGGCTGTAATGGCAGGGACTGGGCCAAACCCAAGCCAGGAGCTTGGAAATCCATCCAGGTCTCCCCTGTGGGTGGCAGGAGCCCAGGTAGTTCGGTCATCTTCTGATGCTTTCCTAGGTGTGTGAGGGGGGAGCTGGACCAAAAGTGCAGCAGGTGGGACTTGCACCAGTGCCCCATGGGATGCTGGCATGGCAGGTGGTGGCTTAACCCACTGTACCACAACTCAGGCACTGAATACAATCCTCCTAACTAGCATCTCTCTCTCTCTCTTTTAAGATTTTATTTTCACTTGAAAGGCAGAGTTACAGAGAGGACAGACAGATCTTGCATCTGCTGGCTCAGTCCCCAAGTGGCCACAAGTAACGGAGCTGGGCTGATCCCTTAAGTGGTTTGTTTTCAAACACATCCTTCAGAGAACATCTGAGCAGGGCTCTGTGTAGAGGAGTGGACTGTGCACAGGTCAAGATCAAGGACTGCACACTCAGAAACACGGGAGAGGCCCTGGCGCAGGTCGGGGTGTGCTGTTTCAGGGTCACTGACTGTGAATGCCAGCTGGGACTGTACACAGTGTGGCAGGTTATGCCGCCACAGGGGACAGCCATGGCCCACACAGGGGTGCCTGGTCCCAGGCCGGGCTCTCCCAGGACGGTGCGATGCCCTCAGTCCTTGGGCCTCTCTCCCTCCTCCCGGAGCCCTGGTTGGAGGGCCTCGCTCTGGGGCACCTGGGGAGAGAGCCGGCAGGAGGGAGGCCTGTCTCTGCCCTCCCTATCTCCATACAGGGAGGCGGCGAGCCATTGAGACCCACCTTGTCCAACACCACGTCACTCCTCCTGAGCTCCAGCACTCTGGACAGATACCGACAGAGCTCCGCGTTGGCCTCGCCCTCTGTCGGGGGCGCCGCAATAGCCATGTGCACGGCCTCGGCTGCCAGGTCTGGAACAAGAGGGGTGCACACTGTACCCACAGGGAGAGACATTGCCCTTCACCATGGCAGCAACTGTCCTGTCAACAGATTCTGCACAGGGCTGACACAGAGGTCTGCCATCGGTAAGTGCGTGAACAAAGCAAGGGATGATGAGCCACTCAGAATGCTGCACCATGGGGGGAGGGTTATGGGAGGGGTGGGGGGAATCCCAGTACCTATAAAACTGTATCACATAATACAATGTTATTAACAATAAAAAAAAAAAAAAGAAAGAAAAAAGAAAAGAAGAATGCTGCAGGGAATCAATCCGAAGGAGAAGTACTGATTATTCCTCCACTCCGCGGACCGCGAGCAGGGAGTTCCCAAACTTCAGGCCAAGGGGAACTTCACTGGCTCTGATGGGAGCAGCCCGAGGCCTCACCCCTGCTGCGTCACCAACCACAGAGATGACGGATGGGTGGACGGCAGCTCAACATCTGTGCAACAAAAGCTTACAGAGCACTGACCATGACCCGCTCTGAAGCACACATGCGAGGGCCCGACAAGCATTTAACCCTCATGAGTCTACAAAGGTGCCAAGACCATTATTATCATCTCCATTTTGCAAAGGAGGGCACTGGAGCCCTGTAGGGTCACTGGCGTGGGCATCTGGCACGGGAGGGCCTGGGTTCAAGTCCCAGCCCCTGCTTCTGCTCCCGCCAGTGCACACCCCAAGGAGGTGGCAGGTGAGGCTGGCTCCAGTACCTGGCTCGCTGCCACCCAAGCGGGAGTCCTTGATGAAGTGCCTGGGCTCTTGGGCTCGGTGCAGCCCAGCTCTGGCTGTGGAGGGCACTTTGGGGAGTGGGTCAGCAGATGGATCAACTCTCCCTGCCTCTCAAATAAATATTGTTTTAAAGATCTATATTTCTTTTTATTGCAAAGTCAGATATACAGAGGAGAGACAGAAAGAAATGTCCTCCATCCGATAATTCACTCCCCAAGTGACCACAACGGCCAGCGTTGAGTTGATCCAAAGCCAGGAGTCCAGAGCCTCTTCAGAGTCTCCCACACGGGTGCAGGGTCCCAAGGCTTTAGGTCGTCCTCGACTGCTTTCCCAGGTCACGAGCAGAACTGGATAGGAAGTGGAGCTGCCGGGATCAGAACCAGCACCCAAATGGATCCTTGGGTGTTCAAGGTTAGGACTTTAGCCGCCAGGCCACTGTGCTGGGCCCCACAAATAATTTAAAAAACTTTAAAAAAGTAACACGTCAGAAAATGATGTGATTCAAAAGCAAGGGCCAAGGGGAACTTCATAAAAATTCCATCTCTATAAACTTTCTTTCTAAATTACAGGTCTCTTTTAAATGTAGCTCCAATTCCTGTGGGCTCCTGGAGAATGAACCAAGTGACTGCTCCGTGGGGCTATGCCAGGCCAAAGCCAGGAGCCAGGAGCTTCTTCCAGGTCTCCCTTGTGGGCGCAGGGTCCCAAGGCTTTGGGCCGTCCTCGGCTGCTTTCCCAGGTCACTAGCAAGGAGCTGGTTGGGAAGTGGAGCTGCTGGGATTCGAACAGGCGCCTATATGGAATGCTGGGGTGAAGGTGGTGGCTTCAGCCCCACCATCTAGAATCCAGTCAACTCTGACTGCAGAGGTGGAACATCCTAACTCCTGGTGGGTTATGGCAGGAGGAACCTGCAGCAAGCCGCGGGGGGCGAGGAGGATGTGCGCGTCACCCCAGCCGCCCATCATCCCCGCGCCCAGGTAACCTGTCACGGCGTTCTGCTTGGCGCCGGGCTTGGCGTGGATGGCGATGGTGACACGACCCTGGGGATCCACGGCCACGGGGCCCGAGGGAGGAAGCGGCTTCTCCTGGTCCTTGCCCTGGCTTTTACCCTAGAACGAGAGCAATGGCACCTGCCTTCAAGCCGGGAACAGGGCCGGCGCCCTCCTCCCTCCCGCGGGCGCGCTGCTCTCGCGCCCCCGGCCCCTCTCTGGCCAACGCGGGCTGTTACTAGCCTTGCCCGTCGCTCCCGCCTTCTTGGGCATCTCGCCCCCGCGCTGCAGCCGCGCACTGGCCCGGACGCCACAGCGCGGCCGGAGCCGTGTCAGCCAGCAGCCGGGCCGCAGCATGCCCGCAAGAGCGGGCGCCAGGAAGCACCGCCGGCGCCGGAAGAGCCTTCTGCGCCTGCGCTCGGGGAGCCGTGCGCGTCCGCACCGGATGGAGCGCTCCCCCGTGTGGTCGGAGGGGTGCTCGGCACCGCTCGCGCGCATGCGTAATGGGGCTGTGGAAACTGCCGGGGGCGGGAGGGCAAGAAAGGTATTGTCACGTCTCAGGACTGCAGTGGCCAGCAGCAGGTGCCGAGGTCCACCACGCGGCACGGAGCCTCGGACAGCCGGGGCCTTTGGCGAGGGAGTGCGTGTCACCTTTTGATTCCCGCTAGTGCAGGGAGAACACTGAATGTAGGGAGCCCCGCAACCTCAGTGGGAGATGGTGACCTGAGCTGGAGCAACAGTGGGGACTTGGTTGCTTGAGAAGGGCTGGGTATGGCAATGAGCGCACAGAGCAGGGATTGGACTGAGCAAGTTCAGGTTTGGGGCTGCTTGCGCGATGTCCCAAGTAGTAAAGGAGTGACTGGACTATGTAAGAATACACGCTGCTGGTGGTGGGGGGTGCAGGCTGGAGCGTGCAGACTCCCCAGGCAGTGTCCTGGCAACCGAGGGAGGGTGCACCTTTGTGGGGTGGGTGGGGGTGACAGGTGCCACGTGGGAAGCGTCCACAGGACAGCCCCCCCGAAGTGACATCACCCTGAAGGACAGACAGCTATCTGCAGGTTGACAGGACAGGCCAAGAGAAGTGACACTCCTGTGAACGGATCACACATCGTCGTGTGTCCTCCCAGACCTCCCCCAGGTCCGAGATTGCAGCAGGGGCTGGAAACCCAGCCACAAGGCAGAGGTCCAGCAGTGCGCCTGGTTCCCACTCTGCTAAAACGTGTTAAGGTGTCTGCAGGCCTTCTTTGTGTTTTTATATTATTTCCATACATTAGTTAAATCTCAATGAACTGCAGCCTTTGTTCCTTCAACTTTTAGACAATAAATGACAAAAAAATGGATAAAAGGATAGTATATATTTATTTTTTTAAAAAAAATTCCAGGGGGTGTCCCAATGTCAGCCCACAGTCGTATCTGGCCATTGTGGAGCACGGCATGCCCAGGCGGGGCTCTCTGTGGCTCACGCATCTTCTGTGATGGTCGCTGCACAGCCCCTGCTGGGCTGTCCATACCTACCAGGACCTCGCAACCCGCAGGCCTTCCAGTTAGCGGGGTTCTTAGCACCAGGCTTGGCAGTTTTCAGGGACCCCTCTCGACTGTGACAACACACAGCGGGATCAGACTTCTGATCTCCTCAGCCCTGCCTACAAAGCCTCTGCGTTGATACTTGAAAGCACTGATTTTTAAATCATCTTCCATAACCATCTCATGCACCTGGAAGTCAAGGACGCTCAACTCTGTCAGTTATCTTACGCAGCAGCCTGCGGCACAGATGTTCAGACGTCTCTGCCAGGCCCACCTCCTGTGGGACACGGAGGCCGTGGCCATTACACGCTTTGGATCCAAGGACGGCTGCGTGGGTTGCTGCCGGGCGTCTCACGCGCAGCAGCACCACCACCACCCCAGATGGACAGACACAGGCCTGACCGTGCAGCATCCGGCCCTGGCCTGCACCTTTAGGTTCTTTGTTTAAATTAGAGTACTGTGAATTTCAACAAACTCCATTAATAGTTTTAAGCTATATTCTCTAACACACTTTAACACTAGTACCAGGTATCCATTCCTGTAAATGCATGGACCATTTTCTCCAGCATTTATTAGGTCTATTTTTTTTTTTTTTTAGCATTGCCACAAATGCTAGCTAGCCACCAGACATTTTCAAAACCCCAATATAAAGTCAGTTTTCTTGATTTTTTTGAAAGTTAGTAGAGCTGACAGGGGACTCTGCAGGTATACTGACCCATCTCATCTAACCCTTTCCAAAAGGTTAAGACAAAGACAGAAAGCCAACCAGCTGTAGCAAACAAGACTCAATTCCAGAACTACAGAATGACTGGGTCGGCTGGCCTGGGTGCACGGAGTGCAGTGGAAACAGCTCTGTAGATAATTAAATCCATGTTCCTGCCTCCAAAAGTGTAAGAAATTGGAAAATCTGCCTTTAAATCATGCAGAGATTGAAATGAACATTTTTCTATTTCCTTTGAGAAACTAAAAAAAAAAAAAATTTTTTTTTCAAACTTACAATTATAAATACTCAAACATTTTTTTTTTTTCGGTGGCCCGTTAATTTATGCCTTTGAGACTAGATGGTAGTAGTGGCAGCTAAGACATCGTGTAGTGCTAGGTTAGGTATAAAATATGATTTCCGGGATCTGTCCATCTTCGATGGAGGTGCCGTTGTTATTGCCGGGGGAGCTGAAGAAGAGGAAGACAGTCTTGCTGGCCGTGGCGCTCTCGTGGACCACCTTCTTCAGCCCCTTGGTGCCGTAGTGGGAATCCGGGCCCTACACGAGACAAGGTCCCTCAGAGGTACTCACGTTAACAGTCACCCTCCACCCACTGCGAGCAGATTAGGGCTCTCCATTTCATGAGGGCTCTCCTGTATAAAACTGTATGTGAAGCCCTTTAAGATTTATGTTTTATTTTTTACTGGAAAGTCAAATATACGGAGAGGAGAAGGGACAGAGAGAAAGATCTTCCACCTGCTGGTTCACTCCCCAAGTGGCCGGAGCTGAGCTGAAGCCAGAAGCCTCTTCCAGGCCTCCCATGTGGGTGCAGGATCCCAAGGCCTTGGGCCATCCTCGACTGCTTTCCCAGGCCACAAGCAGGGAGCTGGATGGGAAGTAGGGCTGCCCCAATTAGAACTGGCGCCCATATGGGATCCTGGTGCATGAAAGGTGAGGATTTTATTCACTAGGCTACCACTTTAGGCCCATGAAGCCCTTTAATGAAAAACGATATTTGTGCTTAAAAGCTAATTAATGAGCACAGAAGGAATACTGAATGCTGAGTGTGGTTATTAAGGAATAAAGACAAAGGAAAATGATTACTGTATCTTTGTCAAATATTACCTTCTCTCACTGGAACAAAGGGTTGCTTCTGAGAGCCAGTCCCTTCCGGGGGCTTCGGGAGAGCTCTGAGAAGCTGGCCAGCAGCACATGGCATCCTGGGGGGCACCTGGCCTGCCCACTGGGCAGGTGAGCACCTGGCTCTCCCACTCCGCCTCGGCCAGCCCCACAGGAGGGACCCTGTCTGCCAGCCCCAGGGCCTCTCTTACTTTGAGGGTGGCGCACGCTGTGTAGCACACGTTGGGCAGGATCTCGATGGGTTCCTTGAACATGACCCTGAATGTGTTGGCGGTCCCATCACAACTGAAGCCGGTATCATTCTGTCCCAGGGTTTGTTTTTTCTCATATTCGATGATCTGGAATTTTAAAGAGAAGTTCCATTGAAGTTAAACCAATGGGAACTAAGGTTTGAACACAGGAAGCTCTTAGACAGCCGCTCAGAGCACGCAGCCTGCGCTCTGACTTCCCTCCCCGCAAGCCTGGCGTCGGTGGTCGCCTCCCACAGACAGGCCGGTAGAGCCAGCCTCGCAGGGCCGCGAGTGCGGTTTTCCTGGGGCACACGGCCTTCCACATGCCAACCCACATCGGCCTGCTAGAACCTCCCTCAGCATCTTCTGTGTCTTATCCTTAGTGTAATTAAAACAACTTCCGCCATACTGGATTGGTGGATAAAGTGTAAAAACCAAAAGTCTGCCTTTTCAATGGAAGCCCCTGGACGTGCAGGTCCTGCTCGGCCCCGGTGTGCGGATGGGTGGGCACCAGCGGCTGCAGGGAGAGCATGGCGGGCAGATGCGGGCTGAGGAGGCTCTGAGCACGTTTGCTTTGGAGGTTGCCAGGTGGCCGGAAAAGGGGTTCCCATGCAGCGGTGGATGTTTCTGACCCTGCCTTTTGCACACTTGAGATGAAAACAGTGGCAGTGAGGCCATGTCCCCCTGGCACAGGGCAGGGTAGGGCCATGTGGGGGAGTGGCTGTGCATTGGGTACTCAGGAGTATGTAATTTGAGCAAACTAAGCCCTACTCACCACTTCTGCAATGAGCACATGCTTCCTGTGTGTTACAGTTCAATAAAAATAACAAGACAGTAGGATGCCTGTCAATAAACTAAGTGGGTACAGCCTGTGGCCATAACCGTGCAATCTGGAAGCCACCAGAGACTTCTCTGCCTTTCACTGATTTTTCATTGCAAAAAACCAAACCAACCCCAAAACAACACCCTTGCTTTCTCCACTTCCCAAGATTACTGTGAGAATCAAAATAACAGCCAACTCCACAAGATAGGGACAGACTGTGCACCGAACATGCGATATGCAGCCCAGGCCTTGGCTTTGGGAGGGTGCACCTGGCGTGGCCGATGAAGAGGGGGAGGCTGAGGTTCCCTAATCTGGCCCAGTCAGACCTTTGCAGTGGAGGGTGTGTCTTCACACCTAGGCGTGCCTAGCAGGCTGCAGCTGTGCTGTAAGATCTGTGCCGTGACATGTGTTCCTACGCACTGTGACGTACGGGTACTGTGACATCAACCCACGCACAGCAACATGAGGTCTGCACATTGACATGGGGCCCGTGCACTGTGACGTAAGGCCTGCGCACTGTGACGTGAGCCCGCATACTGTGATGTACGGGAGCAGGCACTGTGATGTGAGTCTGCGCAAAGCCATTACACCTGACTCAGTCTTCAGATTCACTGCCCACCACACTGCTGTCCCCTGGACTGTGGAGTGTACCTGGATATTCACTTGATAATCCGTGGGACCATGGATAGACCCGTACAAACCAAAGCCGACGATGGAGATTCTTCTGTTCACCGTGAACCTGTGGGAGAGAAGCCAAACATACAATCGCATCAACAACCCCACAAGTGCCAAATCACAGAAACTTTTCTGTGTCAGCTGGAACATCCACATTTGTGTATAAAAAGGAATACTAACGAATTAGCTATTCCTGAAAATGTAACCACTCTCCTCCTGGAGTAGCTGTGAACCTCACTGGCACAGGGGACTTTGTTCTTCATCGTATGGCGGAACTGAAGTTGAACACCTGCCATGTACTCACGAGGGCTTGAGAGCTGCACTAGTGCGGTGTGCCTGCATATCTTCCCGGGGACAGGGAGCGTCCACCTGCACCACGCCTACAACTTGTCACACAGTGAATACTCAAAAGTGGCTACCACATGGAGGGCTGGGCTGGGCACTAGGGAAGCTGTGCCAGCCAAGACCATTTCTGCCAGTGGGCTTAGGGCCTAATGGAGGACATGGAGATCAACCAGAAATGCAAATAAACCCATGATTAAGGGGTTGGGGGGGGATGCAGCGGATGGCGGAGGACTTGACCCACAGGGGGATTGCTAAAGAGGACTCTCACCAGAGTAGGAATAAGTCCAGTTAGGTGAGAGTTCAGAAATTCTGACCCAGCTGCCCCCATTTTATAAAGGCATGAAAACTAACATTAGACACAAACAGAACAGGAAGGCTGTAGGGAAATATTTTCAGCCACAATTGCTCTGAACACCAACACCCCTACAGGAGCACCTCTCACAATGCCTACAAGTTGGACGCAGCCCTTCCGCTCATGGTTGGAGAAGCCTTACACACTTAGTTTAAGAAATGAACTTGTCTGGGTCAAAGGGCAAAGCTGAGACACATTCCAGGTGTGTTTGGTGCAAGCCCACACTTAGAGCCATGCTGAATACCAGCAGGTAAGAGTGCCCCTTGGAAAAACACACCAGTAAGCTGTTTATGTAGCAGGCTATTACACAAAGTAATACATTGCTATTATTATATAAAGCAGTGCATTCTGTTTTAAGTCAGAGAATAGGAGCCCTGTATGATATCTCAACTGGCTTATCTTCCCACCTCCAACTGCCAAGATCCCATGTGGGAGTCCCGGCTGCCTAAAGCTTTGGGACCCTGAGCTTGCACAGGAGACCTGGCAGAACCAATGGATGCAAGATCTGTCTCTCCTCTCTGGGAATCTGCCTTTCCAGTAAAATAAATCCTTAAAAAAAAAAAAATTCCAGAAAATACAGCCCAACAACAAAGAAAATAGCCCTTGTTACCTCTGCACTGTTTGGACTTGTATGAACAAATTACACTTAAAAGGCACAGGGACAGATCTTCCATCTGCTGGTCACTTCCCAAGGGCTGGGCCAGGTCAAGGCCAGGAGCCCAGCGCGCTCTCACTGCCCTTCCCAGGAGTGCTTCACCAGGGCGCGACACGGTCCCCGAGAGGCTGGTTCACTCAGAGATGGGGTACACAGGATTTCAAGTGGTGGCTTGCATCACAGCACCTGCCCCACAGTAAATCATTAAATCTCCTATCAGAATACACACACACACATATATATGTACTTCAGAAAGTTCAAGGGAAAACAATTACATTGGTATCCAAAATGATTAGAATCCATGCACTCTTCCCATGAACTTTCTCAAGAACCTTCATGTTTTTATAATCTTATCCATGTAAAGTAGTAAATATTAATAGTTATATTTAACTACTCCTTTGTTGGAAAATCTAGGATACCTGCAGTTTTTATTATACAGCATTTCCATGGTAAGAAATCTTATGGCTAAACCACTTTACAAAGCCTTATTCAAATAAATGAATTAATTAATTAATGAATAAATAAATAAAATTCCTAGTATAATTGTTGGTAAAAATGAAAGGCACTTTTATTTCTTTTTTTATTTATTTGAGAGACAAACACAGACACAAAGAAGGGGTGTGGGGGACAGGGGCAGGACTCTTCTGTTTGCTGGGTCATTCCTCAAATGCCCACGGCAGCTGGGGCTGGAGTCCGCTGAAGTCAGGAGCCAGGAAGTCACTGGGTTTCCATGCAGGTGGCAGGGACCCAACCACTTAGGTTGTCGCCTGCGTGCAGCAGGAGGAAGCCAAGCTGGGAGCAGAGCTGGGATTCAAACTCAGTGACTGCAAAATGGGGGGGGGGGGGGGAATCCCAAGCAGTGTCTTAGTGCTCAGGCCAGATACCCACCCCAAAAGGCACATTCACAACGCTTTACATCAAGATTGTCCGGCTGTGTTCTGGAGAGGCGACACTTCACATCCCATAACGCAGAAATGGCCCTTATTCCTCATCAACTTCCTCCTGTTTTTGAGAAACTGCCAAACTCACAGACTCCGTCTCCATTTCTGATTACTTGGGAGGTATGACACCTGCTCCTCTGCTTCCGGCCTGCCGTCCTGCTCTTCGGCTGAAGGCTACTCACTGCTTTCCTTGTCTTCTCCACTGAGAGAGCACATTACTCATAGGTTATGACTATTCCTGCTTCCATGTTACCATCGGTTACAAAATGTTTTCCATGTGTCATTCATCTCTCTCTTTTTTTTTGTACTTTTACAAAAAATATTTATTTTTATTGGAAAGTCAGATTTAGAGAGAGAAGGCGATACAAAGAGAAAGATCTGTGTGCTGGATCACTCCCCAAGTGGCTGCAATGTCCAGAGCCTTGCTGATTTGAAGCCAGGAGCCAGGAGCCTCTTCCGGGTCTCCCACATGGGTGCAGGATCCCAAGGTGGGGGAGTAGAGCAGCCAGGATATGAACCCGCACCCATGTGGGACCTTGGCACATGCCAGGCGAGGACTTGAGCTATGAAGCCGCCAAGCCGGTCCCTCATCTCTTAAGTTTATGGTGGTCTTGAACATAGGATTTTTCAACTATTTACAATCAAATTACAAGCAATGCCAAGTTTAGTAAATACTGTAATGCTGTAACAATGTTTTATTTTAAAAATTATGTTACTACAGATATTTGTTACAGTAACATCTCATCCACCTGCATGGCACATTCCCAGCTGGATTCTTGTTTAGCGTGAACATTTTCACGTGTGGGGTACTGGTATGTGGGCTCAATGAGGATCTGGGCTGGCTGTCCCTGTAGCTGGGGCCTCCTGCCTGTCTACTATTCTGCGGTGGGGACGAGCTCTGCAGCCCGCTTCAGACGACACTGGCCTCGGACACTTCCTCACGCCCTCTTGTGCGTGGCCTGTGCTCCTGTCTCCACTGCAGAAACACTGAGCCCTTCCACAGAACTTTAAAAGAATTATGTCATGCCATGCCTCCCATTAAAAACATGTAATTTCTGAGAGGAAATGCCTACTGCACGTAGGTTAATTTGGAAGACAGCATCCTTATTTAAGTCTGCTTCCAGTCACATCTGTAGTTCTTCATAAATGTGCCACACTCAGCAATTAAGAGCTACTGAACTATCAAAACTGCTTGAGCAGGACCCTCGGGGCATGCCCCACATAGGGGACCTGGGATGGGTGGGAGGCTGGGCGGGGCTTCTCCCTTTGTTTCTCCCCTGACCCCAGACCTGGGGGTGGGGGAAAATGATATTAGTGTGGAAACAGTGGTCTTACCCACTTTCCTGTAGCCCTTGACCCTATGAGCCTGTATCAACTATGTAAGATTATCAAAACAAAATATATGTGTATATATATATATTATACTTATTTATATCTATATATAAACAATAACTGTGCCATACTGAAGATTTCTCACTGGGTTTAATCCTACCACTTTAGGTTGTTAACAATGTACGTGGCATTATAAATAATGTTACATACTGTTGTATTACTATATCTGTAGCAGTAACATAATTTTAAAAATTAAACACTATCATAGAGAATTACAATATTTACTAAATATATCTGAACAGCTTCTAAACTTTGCATTTTTGTGGAGAAGAATGGCAGATAATATCCCCCCACTAGCTGTTTTCAGGTGCGCAGCTCTGTGGCAGCAAGCAGCTGCTGCCATTACGTCTCTGAGTCTCGATCACAGATGGGAATGATGGTTTCTGAACACTCAGTGTCTAAGTGGTCATTAATGGCCCGTCAGTCAACAGACCTCCTTCAGGAGGACCTGTTCTGCCCCCAAGGAGGCAGCCTCTGTTTTCGCGAAGCTCGGTGTCTTGGCTGGCAAGGAGTTGGGGTATGCAAGGAGTATGCACACAAGTCTTCCACAATAAACAAATCTCAATTGTCATGAATTAGTGCCACATAGGTAAATTTATCTATGACTAATTCGTGAACTTATTTCACTATGACCAAAACATTTGGGGGGCACTTTCAATATCCACTGACTTATGAGAGACAATTAGCATAGAAATAAAGGAGATACTAATTGATTCTTATTATTGGTGATACTTAGGTTGTACAAGGCATCACCAGGAACACATAATTAGCAAATACTAAACTAATGCTCTTGGGAGAAATTTGTTTACACATATAAATATTCACACGCACATGTCACATATATAAGAACCTTAATTTCTAAAGCCAACTCATTCTAGCAGCTTCTATTTTATTTTGCAACAGAGAAAATGGGCTTGCCAGAGGCTGCCTGACTACTGGGGGCCGGTGCTGGCGTTCACTCCCAGTACAAGTCCGAGAACCAGAGCTTCCAGCTACAGTCCAGCTGCGGTCCAGCTGCTCTGTGTTGGCTGGCAGTGCTGGAGGAAGGCCTCAACACGCCACTAGTCACCCCAGTCTTTGGCTGAAAATGACTAAGCAAGGGCCCCGGGTGTTGACTGTGCTGTCACAAATAAATTCCAGCAAGCAGACCGAGTTCATAAGCACAAAAATCATGAGTCAACAGTTTGACTACACTGTTTCGGCTGGAATCTTTAAACAACAGAAAGGGCTGAGGCAGTGAGGCAGTGCTGCTGCTCATGGAACTGGAGACATTAATCTAACGCATTCACGCCCTCACTCCCCCAGGCTGCTACCTCAGCTACACGTGTTCCGCACTCAATTTTCAAAACTTATGTGTGAAGTATACTATCTAAAAATTTCATTTCCGGCTAATACAGATGGAATCACAAAATGTTAATTAAAAAAAAAGGAAGGACTGGTGGCGGGGTGCTGATGCTGTGGTGCAGTTGGTTAGGCCACTGTCTACAACTCAGGGCTCCCATACAAGCGCTGGTCCCAGTCCTGGCTGCTGTACTTCCAGTACATTCCCCGGCTAAATGCACCGGCAATCAGAAGACAGTCCAAGTGCTTAGGTCCCGGACTAAGTGAGAGACCACCAAGTGGGAGACCCGCCTAGGGGTTTGGGCCTGGCTCAAGCTTAGGGTGTGAAACAGTGTATGGGATGCATCTCAAACTCTGCCTTTCAAATACAGTACACACTGCGAAGGGGGGAGCTGGGAATGACCAGCGTGTGTGTCTTCAGCAAATCACCAGAGAAGCCGCTGCCTTCGCGGCAGACAAGCATCTAACGTCCTGATGCTTCACGGCCACGCCTCCCAGGACTGCCACACTGCTGCAACATAGCAAGGACAGCTGATCCCCACGCCCCTCTCCTCCCCGCCCCCCTGCGTCCCCCAGGCAAGGACAGCTGTCCCCCCCCCAGGGTGCATGTGTGTTTGCATCTGGAATGCATCTGGAAACCTCCCGCAAGCCTTGTGGACATCTACTATCATCAAACCTGTGAAGAGTGGCATCAGCGGGTCCGGCCGCCAAGCCAGTCTCTCCCTCTCGGAGGGAGCTCTCTGCTCCTGCAGCAGACCCAAGGACCTGCCCCGTGGACGTGTAACACCTGACAGAGTACCTTCTGTGTCTCGCTGAGGCTGACTCAGCGTGTTATCATCATGAGGCTTATGCTTCCTTCATAATCAACCAAGACAGGCTTTCTTCTTTGGCGCCTGCTCTGTGCCTTGAGGATTTGGTCAAACTCGCCTGTGAGAGCCCCTTTGTGAAGGGACAGTTCTTTGATAACTTTTAATTCCTTCCATGGTAATTGGTCTACTGGGGTTTTCTTCTTCAGTCAATTTTGATAATTTATATTTGCCCATAAAATGATCCATTCCATCAGTATGTCCAATTTATTAGCACAGTGTGATCCCAGGGTTAAAATAAAAATTTTTGTGTATGATTATATTCCCATTTTGATTACTTTTTTCTTATTATGGGATCTTTCTTCTTCTTCTTCTTTTTTTTTTTAAATTGGAAAGTCAGATATACAGAGAGGAGGAGAGACAGAGAGGAAGATCTTCTTCTGTCCAATGATTCACTCCCCAAGCAGCCGCAACTGTTGAAGCTGAACCAATCTGAAGCCAGGAGCCTGGAGCCTCTTCAAGGTCTCCCATGTGGGTCCCAGGGCTTTGAGGAGTCCTCAACTGCTTTCCCAGGCCATAAGCAAGGAGATGGATGGGAAGCAGGGCTGCTGGGATTAGAACCGGTGCCTATATGGAATACTGGTGCATGCAAGGCAAGGCCTTAGCCGCTAAGGCACTGCACTGGGCCCCCCATTTTGATTTCTTAATGAGTTTTATTATCTTTTTGTTTTAAACTCTGTTTTTTAAAACTGATTTCTACATTTTTCCTTATCATTTTCCTGAGGTTCTTCGCTATTCATTTTTTAGCTTCTTAGTTGAATGTTTACATTTATTTCTATTCTGTTTTCTAAAGCTAAGTGTTTTCTTTGTGTGCAGCTTTGGTTGCATAACCTAACTCTGACATACAATATTCTTAATGTGAGCGATCCCTACATAGCTTACAAGTACATGCTTCATTTCTGAGGTTTACAATGGCTGCTCCCCTGAATTCTATTTGTTAAACTCGTTCTTTCTAGTTTTCCATTAACTTGCTCCTAAATTACCAAAAACTCATTTCTCCTATACGAAAGCCAGGGGAGCAAAAACAAATTCATCAACAGGATCACATGCAGGCATTTTCCAAGATACGTGGGATTTTTTCCATTTTTCCCTTTCAAAGCTTCTATAAATGTATACTGTTATTTTTCAAGCAAGGTCTATAGAATGAAAACAACTCACCTTCAATACACTGATGTGTGCGTCATGATTTTCAGTCCTAAGCTAATACAGTGTCTCAGCAGCTGAGGCCTAGATCGCAGGGATCCAGCAAGCCCCCGGCAAAGGGCCGGGCCCCACAGTCACGTGACCCTCAGTCATAATCCAGTGAGGAGAGCGGCAGTCCCGGTCACCTACTCCTTGCCTCCCACGTCAACTAGAAACGCACTGCATGAAACGTGCGAGTCGGCTCCCACCCCCCGGCCCAGCGCGGCAGGTACCTGATGCGGTCACTGGTCCCACTGTAGCCCCAACGGCTCTCGACTTGCTGGAACCGGTTGATGCAGCACTCCTTGCCCCTGAGGCAGCACCGGGGCCGGTCGGTGTACTCCACGCGGGGTTTAGGGTTGACGGTAAAGTGCAGAAAGAGGTTCACCACTTCACGATCCGACAGAATCCCAGACTGGGCAGGGCCTGCACAAACGAAAAGGCAAACCTCTATTAAGGGCGATTTGATTTCAAAATGAACTCACATCCCAAAGACGTCAAGTCTAAATTCTCTCTCCTTTTCTCTCTCTCTCTGTTTCTGTCTTTCACATAAATAAATCTTTTAAAAAGATAAAATAAAAGGGGCTGGCACAGAAGCATAGTGTGTTAGGCCTCCGCCTCTGTTGCCAGCATCCCATATGAGCACTGGTTCGAGTCCCAGCTGCTCCACTTTCAATCCAGCTCCCTCCTAATGTGCCTGGGGAACTAGTGGAGGATGGCCAGGTTCATGGGCCCCTCCATCCACGTGGGAGACATAGAGGAAGCTCCTGGCTTCCAAGTGGCCTAAGTCTGGCCATTGGGGACATTTGGGGAGTTGACCAGTGGATGGAGGATGGAGGATCTCTTTCTCTTCTTTCTCTTTCTATAAATCTGCTTCACAAATAACAATACAACTCTGAGGTAACAGAGATCTCAGGATTCTCCTATCACTCACCCGCCCCTGGGGGCCAGCACAGACTTCTCACCATTCCCAGCATTGGGCTGATGAGAAAGTGCTTAATGGCAGCCAGGGAGATTGCTCCGCATCCTCTCCCCTCACCTGTCCAAAGGCAATCCATCCAGAGATGGAAACGCCAGGGACCAGTGCTTTATTTCTGCGGTTTAAAAGTTGGCAGAGGGCCCGGCGCGGTGGCGCAAGTAGTTAAAGGTCCTCGCCTTGCATGCCTGGGATCCCATATGGGCGCCGGTTCTAATCCCGGCAGCCCCGCTTCCCTTCCAGCTCCCTGCCTGTGGCCTGGGAAAGCAGTCGAGGATGGCCCAGGGCTTTGGGACCCTGCACCCGCGTGGGAGACCCGGAAGAGGCTCCTGGCTTCGGATCGGCATAGTATCGGCCGTTGCGCTCACTTGGGGAGTGAATCATCGGACGGAAGATCTTCCTCTCTGTCTCTCCTCTCTGTATATCCGCCTTTTCAATGAAAAATAATAAAAATAAATCTTTAAAAAAAAATAAAATAAAAGTTGGCAGAGGGTAGGAGCCAAGATCCGAAGAGCTACAAGGGTGTCATACGACGCATGCTAGCTTTCCCACTATTTCTAATCAGAGAAAAGCTTCAAATGCCTTAAACTTAGGTTCTTCATAAAAGATACCAGCAGATTCCTCCAGAGGCCAAGCTAGCTAAATAACAGACTTCGATTCCACCGGTTTGTGCGTTAGCTGGTGCTGGTGACACACTGAAGCTGACCTTGCACCTGCTGGTGCACAAGAAGACTTAGGTCTGAGGTCAGCCCAGGAGAGTTTTCTTGGGAGGATTCCCCAACTAGACCCACTGGACTCAAACTTCAGCCACAGTGGAAACCACAAGTTATGTGGTCCGACCTTAGAGTACACATAGCGGGTTTGGGCCTCCTCAGTTGCTGATGCCTGTGCAGTGGACAGCATGCCAAACGCATGCGGGGACATGACGGCCAGATCCTCTAGGCCAGCAGAGGCTAGTGCGTGCCTCGTGAAAGGATGGAAAACGGAGCAGGTCGGACGGCTTTCCTGACCGAGCTTTGCAGCATGTTCCTGGGTCTGTGGATCACTGAGGTGAACTTTGTCATCCAACAGACATCAAACTGACAATGTCTCAGAACTATCAAATCCACTCAACACCTTTGGAACATGCTTCCCCACGTGGGGGTCTCTATAAAATCACCCAACAACCCCTCATCCCTGGGTATCAGTGCAGTCCGACAGTAAGGAGCAATCCTCTCTCCTTCCCTGCCCCCCTGCAGATACAAGAGAAAAAGAAAAAACCAAACATTGATCCAGACAGATGCTGATAACGTTACAGCTAGCTGATCATGTTACCTGCTGCAAACTCCTCAATTGTCATCAGCGGAAACCGGATTAGAGAAAGTGCTTTTCCTAGAACCTTCTGCTTGTTTGCAAAAGTCACAGGTAGTTGTTGCCTCTGACACTCTGCTTCTGCCCAGCGCACAACGGCTCCAAAAAGTCGACTTTCTCGAATACTAAGTGTGTCTCTTTCCAGAACTGCACATAGTGTGTCTACGGTAAAAAAAATTCAAAGAGGTATCAAATTAGGATTTTGTTAACAAAACAATACTGAAAAACATGCTTAAATTGTTTTCAAACCTCAGTGGAAGATAAACTGCTTGAAACCATATGTTATACTTAAAACTCTTTCTTCTTCCTCTCAAATGAGTAAATAAATTGCAAATATTGAATAATTATTTTCTACGTATCTAATTTAGAAAAGGCAAAAATCACATTTTGCTACGCCACCTTTTCCATTAATGCCTTAAATCTCAATTTTCACAGACTTGTTTCTGGATTCTCCAGACAGGTGTTTCCCTAACAAGACAAGTCGTCCTTTACCTTTCTTTATATTACTTACAGGACCTTAGTACATAAGACAAGCATTCTTACTCGTCTGAAATCTTCCGAGAGGCAATGAGGTGGTGAAAACGTTTAGGAATCTTTTCAGTCAAATGAAAAGGCAAGCTCGTCAAGGTTGACTTGACTCATGGGGACAGAGTCACTAACAGTCCATCCGGCAAGGCTGCCGGGCGAGGCCACACGGCACTTAGAACAACACGGAGGTCCGCGGCGAACTTACCAATGTCAATGTCAGTAAAGCCCTCTGCACTTATGGCATCCATTGTGCTTTTGTCTATTGTGTCTAGACAGAGACTAGCGAGCTGAGGTTCATCGAATAACCGAGCCTAAACAGACAGAGACAGTCAGTTTGCTTTCACAGTCACTTTAACTTCATGCTGTGCATTCAAGTTCACATGGTCAAGTGTAACAATCACCAAGTACAGAACAGCACCTACACATCCCTAAAACTCTTTATTTCATAATTAGAAATCAAAGCTGAAGATACCAATGTTTTGCTAAGAAACACTCATTACCAATAACGATCCTATGATTTTTCTTGTCATATGCTTCCCAGCCTGTTTTCATATTCTGTTTTCTATTCTGACCCTCAGTAAGCCCTCCAAGGTTAGACAAGGCAGGTGTTATTATCCAATTTCCCAAATGGGGAAAAGCGCTCAGAGTGAGGCCGCACTGTGAAGCTGCATCTTAAATCCCAGCGTTACAATCTTGAGTCACAGGAGTAACTGCTGAGCACATGAGTACCAACAGAGCAGGTTGTTCCATTTTCTGTTTTGACCGAGGAGACAAAATGGAGCACAAGAATTTTGCAGCTCTGTGAACATAAGCAAAAACTAGATCTCACAAAGAAGCACAAATAAAAGTCACACGGTGGAGTATTATACAACAATGACAAAAAATGACCTACAGGTATACACAAGAAAAAAATGAAGCCCACAGACCTGAGGATGAGCAAAAGAAGCCATTTTTATAGAACGAGCAGGAACGTATAATGCAGGATTCCAGCAATGCTGATGGGGGCTTTAGGTCACAAGTTGAGCTTAAAACACGCTTTTCACGGGGCAGGTGTTTGGCGAAACGGCTAACACGCCACGTGGGATGCCTGCATCTCATTATCAGAGCGCCTGGGTTCCAGCCTCAATTGCACCTCTGAGTCCAGCTCCCTGCTAACGCACAACCTGGTAGGCAGTAGCTGATGACTCAAATGCTTGGGTCCCTGCCACCCATAGCGACACCAGGATGGAGTTCCAGACCCCTGGCTTTGTCCTATTCCAGCCCTGACTGTGGCAGGCCTGGGGGTTGGGGAGTGGAGGGAGGGAGGGCGGGCGAGGAAGTGGGGAACGGACCAGAGGACAGAGATCTCTGCTTCTGACTTTCAAATAAATAAATTTAAAAATGAATCTAAATATATGCTTTATAAATACACAATTTCATTTCTAAAAGCAAAAGTTTGTAAAGCAGGGAGAAGGAAAGCCAAACTCCAATGAGATTTAAAAGCCAAATCACTGAAAGCAGAGGTGCGGTGGCTGGTGTGCTAGCGGAACAGTGCTGTTTACATTTCACAGCATGGACAGATACCAAAGCCACACAGGTGCTCCTGCCATGCAGCTGCTGAGAACGCTACCAATGAGCCAGTCACAGGACAAATGACACCACCTGGCATGACTTAGGACTCTTAACATTAAGGTGGAATTCATTTTAAAGGATTCTGTAACTTAGATATTACCAAACTATTTGACAGCTATCTTAAGAAAGATTGCATGGAAGGGCAAAAGTATTACCCGCAATGACTTAATTTTTTTTTAAAAAAAAGTATATATATTTTATTTCTACTTTAAACATATAGTTGAAATCTGAAGTTAAGATGCCTGTTGGAGGCTGGTACATCACAGCACGCTAAACCTCCACCTGTCTGGCCAAGATCTCATATGGACACCAGTTCTTTCTAGTCCTGGCTGTTCCGCTTCTGATTGAGCTCCCTGCTAATGGTCTGGAAAAGCAGTGGAGGATGGCCCGAATCCCGAGGCCCCTGCACCCAGGTAGGAGACTTGGAAGAAGCTCCTGACTCCCAGCTTTGGATCAGTCCAGCTCTGCCAGTTCTTGGGGAGTGAACCAGTGGATGGAAGAGCTCTCTCTCTCTCCCTGAAACTCTGTATTTCAAATTTAAAAAATTAGAAGTTTTTCAAAATTAAAAAGCTCTCACATAACAATCTGAAGTAGGCCGTTCTTTAAAATCATGGAAAAACTCAAATTTGAAAATGTTGTTCTTAGACAGAGTCTGTTTACGCATACTTGTTTAAATTTTAAATAACTCTCAGGGAAAGTGGCACAGCAGTGGGGATGCTGCTGGGACATCCGCAACCCGCAACGTCGTGCCTGGGAGCGAGTTCCGGTCCGCGCCCAGTCGAGCTTCCCGCTCAGGGACGTCCTGGGAAGCAGAGGGTGGCGGCCTGGACTGAATTCTAGGCTCTTCACCTCAGCTGGCCCAGGCCTGGCAACTGCTCAGCAACTGGGGATGAGCCGGCAGAGAGATGAATGATCTTTCTCGCTGCCTTTCAAATAAATAATCTTTTTCAGTTAAGGGAAATATATTATTTATTCTAATAATGGAAGCTTTTCATTTTAAAATCTGTAATATCAAGTTTAAAGAAAAGTTGCAAACATAGTACTAAAGAATACTAATATATACTTCATCAAAATGTCTTTAAATGCTATTCATGTAACATTCCAGCACACTAATTCTATCATTTTCTCTGCAATCACATACAAATATGTACACATGTACGCATGTAGCTGAGGGACGGGGTATACTGAATTACATATAATCATATCATCATCTGGGTCTCCCACCTGAGTGCAAGGGCTCAAACACTTGGGCCATCTACACTGCTTTTCCAGGCACATCAGCGGGGAGTTTGATCAGAAGTGGAACTGCGGGCCTGGCGCAGTAGCCTAGTGGCTAAAGTCCTCACCTTGCAAGCGCTGGGATCCCATATGGGTGCCAGCTCATGTTCCAGCAGCCCTACTTCCCATCCAGATCCCTCCTTGTGACCTAGGATAGTTGAGCAAGACCCAAAGCCTTGGGACCCCGCACCTGCGTGGGAGACCCGGAAGAAGTTCCTGGCTCCTTGGCTTCAGGTCAGCTCAGCTTCAACTGCTGCAGCCATTTCAGGAATGAATCCATGGATGGAAGATAGATCTTCCTGTCTCTCCTCTTTGTATATTCTGAATTCCCAAAAAAAGGAAAAAAAAAAAATCTTAAAAAAAAAAAAAAGAAGAAACGGAGCTGCCGGGGCTCAAACCACCACCTGCACGGGACGCTGGTGTTGCAGACCGTGGTTCTACCGGTTACGCCACAACACCAGCCCCAAAGTTTGGCAGGTACAACAACAATGCTCCTCATTTACTGGTATCGTACCTTCAAGCTGTACTTCAGTTCTGCCGCTGGCATCAACTTTCTGGTACAAGATACAGCCTAGGGTCAAAATCTGTCCATCTTTAAGATGGGTCACAGTATATTTTTATAACCTGAGATTCCATTATTAGCAAGTATGAGGCTTGGCCAGTTCCACTGCGTTTTTAGTTACTTTTATTATTTCTTTTAGGATTTATTTATTTTTATTGGAATCTCACGTTCACCCAGAGGAGATATAGAAAGATTTCCCATCCATTGGTTCATTTCTCCACACACATTTTAAAACCCCTTAAAAATCCCAACAGGATTTTTACCACAAATTCAAAGCAGGAGAAAATGTAGGGGGACAATGCTTACAAGGATTAGTTTCAGAACAAGCTGTAATATCCTTATCTATACAGAATGGTGACAGCAAGAGAAGTCCTTACTTTGAACATTTCTGCCTCATAAAGTTGTTGTCGAGATGAGATGCGTGAACGGACCTCAAGTCAGAAAGGTGCCCAGTTACAACTAGGAGCTATTAGTTTAAAGTGAGACCTTACTTTAACTGGTGGCTGTCCAACGTTAAATTACACGTTTACTCCTTTTTTCTTTTTAAAATTTATTTACTTTTATTAGAAAGGCAGATTATAGAGAGGAAGATCCTCCGTTCAACGATTCATTCCCCAACCGGCCACAATGGCCGATGCTGCGCCAATCCGAAGCCAGGAGCCAGGAGCCTCTCCCAGGTCTCCCACACGGGTGCAGGGACCCAAGGCTTTGGGTCGTCCTTGACTGCTTTCCCAGGCCACAGCAGGGAGCTGGATGGGAAGTGGGGCCGCCAGGATTAGAACTGGTGGCCATATGGGATCCGGCACATGCAAGGCAAGGACTTGAGCTGCTAGGCCACTGCACCAGGCCCACGCATTTATTTCTAAAAATTTCCATCTATCGTCTTGAAAGTGGGAATGGTAGTAACGCCCATCTCAGTGGTAATGATGGAAGGGTGAGAATGTATGAAAAAGGAAAGCTGCGTCCAGAATACACACAGCTCTACAATTGAATTCAAGGAGACGGGAGTGACAACAGCATGGTCATCTTCTGGAACTATAAATGACAGGATTTTTTAAAGGACAAAAAGAGTACAAATCCTTTACTTTAAGATAAACAGGAGTGGGCCCAGTGGTGTGGCCTAGCGGCTAAAGTCCTCGCCTTGAACCCGCCGGGATCCCATATGGCCACCGGTTCTAATCCTGGCAGCTCCACTTCCCATCCAGCTCCCTGCTTGTGGCCTGGGAAAGCAGTCGAGGACGGCCCAAAGCCTTGGGACCCTGCAACCGTGTGGGAGACCTGGAAGAAATTCCTGGCTCCTGGTTTTGGATCGGCACAACATCGGCCGTTGTAGTCACTTGGGGAATGAATCATCGGACGGAAGATCCTCCTCTCTGTCTCTCCTCCTCTCTGTATATCTGACTTTCCAATAAATAAAAATAAAATCTTAAAAAAAAAAAGATAAACAGGAGTCCTGGCTCCCAGCCCTCGCTGTCTGTCGTGTGACATCACACAAGCATCAATTGGCTTAGATTTTAGTCCTCCCATTGTTGAATGACGGGGTTGAACATAGGGTCATTCGCGATTGTTCTCAATACTAATATTCACTACTTCTTTTAACAGCTTAGAATTTTTAAAACAATTTCATATAAAGGCATTAAAATACTGTCTAAGAAATAAAAGCACATGCAGGCTATGAAGCTCAGATTATGTGCAATTAATGTCCAATTATGAGTTAATGTTTCTGTACATTACGTTTAATTTGTAGAAATTCATCAAGCTGTGCAGTTACAATATGCATGTCATATACAGATTATGTACTCGGCAAAAACTTTGTAAAATGTCAGAAATAACATTCCATATAATCCTCAAACCCTAACTCCTCCATGCAAGGGGGTCAGCAAGTCTGCAGACACAGACCCAAAGATGGGCAACCTTTCAACTTTTCTGAATTTGAGCCGATCATTCTTCCAAATCTAAAAACACTAAAGAAGATGCTCAGAAAAGTTCATGCTATCCAATTCTCAATGGAGCAGGAATGACACTGGATCTTTTATTAAGAAAAAAAAATTTTTTTTCTTAAAGATTTATTTATGTTTATTGGAAAGTCAGATTTACGGAGAGAAGCAGAGACAGAGAGGAAAAGCTTCCACCCGCTGGTTCATTCCCCAGGTGGCCGCCATGGCTGCTGTTGAGCTGATCCAAAACCAGGAGCTTTTTACAGGTCTCCCACGTGGTTGCAGGGTCCCAAGAGCTTGGGCCATGCTGTACTGCTTTCCCAGGCTACAGAAAGGGAGCTGGATGGAAACTGGAGCATTCGGAACACAAACAGTGCCCATATGGAATCCTGGCACATGAAAGGTGAGGATTTTAGCCACTAGGTTACTGCACTGGGTTCTATGTTGGATCTTAATTCTAAGTAGCTCTCCATTCCTAGATGCTAACCCTCTGCTGACATGAGGGCTTGGCATCTTTAGCCCTACAGTCAAGCATTATGTGAACTCCAGTTTGCTTTGCTATTCCAAATTGTTATGACAGGTTTCTATGCATAGCATTATCAACTGCATGCAAGAGATCTTCAAAAAGTTCATGGAAAAAAATGAAGGTAAAGAGCCTGAGGTATAAGTGGTGTAGTGGTTAAGTCACTGCTTGCTGTAGCCCACATCCCATTTAGAGTATCTGTCTGGCCCACTCCCTGTCCCACTTCCTACTAAAGGGTACTGTGGGATGGCAGATGATGCACCAAGCATGTGGGTCTCTGCCACTCATACAGGGTACCAGTTCCTGCTTAAGGTCTGGCCCAGCTTTCGGTGTTATGGGCATTTGAGGAAATGAAACCAGTGGATAAAAAAGATCACTGTCTATCTCTTTGCCTTTCAAATAAAAGGGAAAAAAACAGTTTTCCAATTCTACATTTTAAAAAGATCACTTAGCAAGATTTTTTTGAAATCCACACGTGCTTAGTCATAATGCACATTTCCTATGAACTTGTTGCAACTTCACTGTATACCTTAAAATAATGAGCTAGAGTTCTCCAGGAATTCTTCTTAGACGCTTACACTTGGTGCTTGACCAACAGTGACACACGCCCAGCACTGCACGGACTCACCTGCGTCAGCAGCATGAAGGCGTTGTCTGCCCGCAGGTGCTTGGTGAGGAAGTCCACGCAGTGTGCTTCCAGGGCCGGCACCGCGTACTTCTTGGCAGTGTACAGGGTGGTCATCACTGTTTCTGGGCCAATTTGAACTTCATCAGAATACAGAAACCTGGAGAGCAATTGGGAAGTGGGCAGGGACACTCAGTCATGTCTTAGACAGCCATCTGGGCCAATGTTTTGAAAGACCACAGCAAACTGAAGAACATGGTGGCACCTGCATCGGACTGCAGCCTAGGAAGCATGGCATGCCATCTCGTTTTACTCCAACTCAGCCCCGCGGGGCAGCAAGCCTCCCCACAGTGGAAACAGAATAAGTGAGGATCATGAGGCTGACCCGTGCCTCTCACCCATACCGGAGCGCTTCCTCACACCCTGTGGTTGCTGTGGTGGCCCCTGGGGCTGTCCCACACCAGAGGATGCAATGGAAATGAATCCCTGGACACTGATCTCTCAGCGTTGTTACTTATGTTTTATCTGTAAAAAGGCCTTCTCACTTTGGACATCTTCTAATCTTTTATGGTTGTCTCATAATTAGCACAATGACCGCTGAATGGCAGGCTGGGGCTTGGAAGAAATAAAGCAATTTTTTCCTCTACTGTCTGACCTGAGGCCGCCATATGCAGAGTGCTCGGCATTGCCACAGCGCCTTGCTGCTGGGTACAGGACAAACAAGCTCCACAGACTTGCCGACAAAGCTCAGATTCTCTGCCAAGGCCTAGGCCACTTCCTTAGCTACACTCGAGCTCTGCTGGTCAGCTTTAGGCCGTCTCTGCAGCCTCTTAGTGACACCTGTGACGACTGCTGAGGCTACTGGGAAAGTACAGCCTTAAGAAGACGAATTCCACTGTGGCAACACCTAAAGACATGAAGCACTTGCTGTATTTCCAGGACCTAAGCTGTAAAACAAGGATTTAAGGAAACCCATCAGGTCCCATGTGGTAGCCTAGTGACTAAAGGCCTCGCCTTGCACGTACCAGGATCCCATATGGGCGCTGGTTCTGATCCCAGCAGCCCTGCTTCCCATCCAGCTCCCTGCTTGTGGCCTGGGAAAGCAGTCGAGGACGGCCCAAAGCCTTGGGACCCTGCACCGGTGTGGGAGACCTGGGAGAGGCCCCTGGCTCCTGGCTTTAGATCTGCTCAGCTCCAGCTGTTGCGGCCACATGGAGAGTGAACCGACAGATGGAAGATCTTCTCTGTCTCTCCTCCTGTCTGTAGATCTGACTTTCCAATAAAATAAATAAATAAATCTTAACAACAACAAAAAAGGAAACCCATCGTTTGCTTCCAGAACATTCTATCACAATGCAGGGAGGAAGGGAGGCTCCACTTCAGTTCCCTTCTCCCCACCTCTCAGTTCCCTGCTGTCGCCATTCCTGGCACCCAAGATGAAACCCCAACCTGTTGTACCCCAGCATACCCTGCCGCCATGTCCATCAACCCTACAACAATTGCATGCGCAGGTTTCCTCCCACGAGGGTAGCTGTTTCTCAGGATTACACTCGGTTTTGCCTGATTTTCACCAAGAACTCACCTTAAGGACTTACGTGAGTCAACTCTTTACCCTCCCTAATTTCACTTAACTCCTGCCATTCTGTGATGGATTATGGGTCACTAAGAATTAAGTAAGGGGCTGGGCACTGGAGTAGCAGTAAGCCACGGCTTGGGACACGTGCAGCCCACAATGGAGGGCGTGATCCAGCCCCAGCTGCTCCACTTGCAGCCCAGCCTCCTGCTGTGTGAGACACTGATGGGGTTAGGGACTCTCGGGGTGGACGTGGCCCACACCCAGCTGTTGTGGGCATCTGGAGATGGAAGCAGCAGATGGAAGATCTCTCTCCATCTGTTTCTCTACATTTCAAATCAGGTGGAAAACCGAAAAACAAACAATACAGGAACTAAGGTACAGTCCCTCCTAGCTAGGAGAGGGAAAGGAATTGAAAAGGAGAGAAAATTAAAATGAACATGTTGAATGTCTACTGTATAACAAGTACCAATTCATTTGATCCTCCCACAAAAGAAGGTAAGTATTGCCTGCATTTTAATGACGAGGAGGCCAAGGCTGGGGAAATATGTGAGTTATGGACCACAACACACCCTTTTCCAGTGCCATGCCAACCAGGAGAGCGAGAAAACTGCCTGCCTGTCACCTGCCTATGAGGTCACTGCCATGGATACTCACCTACTCTAAAAACAAATGGAAACAGCACCTCCTTCTTAACTCTGAGGTGAGGACTAACACAAGGCAAAACATTCTATTATAGCACCTGACCAAAAGAACTTGTGGGGGAACGTGGAAAAGTGCTGGCATCCCACTTGGGCAAAATTTCATGTCCTAGCTGCTCCACTTCCAATCCAGCCCCCTGATTATGGTCTGGGAGAGCAGCAGAGGATGGCCCAAATTCTTGGGAACCTGCACCTGTGTGGGAGACCCAGATGAAATTCTTTGGTTCCTGGCTTCAGATCAGATCAGCTCTGGGCACTGTGGTCATTTGGGGAGTGAACCAGCGAATGGACAGATACTTCTCTCTGTAACTCTGCCTTTCAAATTAAAAAAAAAAGTTAAAATTCATTCAGAAAATGAGCATCAGCAAATATTATTTATCTGTATATTGCTTCATATTTTTTGAAATTGCCACCTTTCTCTGCATTTCAGAATTCTTTGTTATCTTCTAGCTCTCCTCCCCTGTTTTTTCCTATATCACTGTGCTTACATTTCTGACAATATTTCCTTCTTCGTTAATTCTTTTTTTCTACCCAATATCATGTCTCAGTTTTAGGAATGCAAAATCCCCACACCTTCAGGATATGCACCATATGCTTCCTTGAGGACCAGCACTTCTGTTGCCCTTGGTCTTTGCTATCATGTTCTGATTGTCCTGACACATCAGATCACGGACAGCTAGCTACCTGTGGGGTCAGTGTTCTACCACAGGGCTGTGTTCCACATAAAGCCATCTCCTAAATGGACCATCTGCAGGTGGGCAGCGTGTGGACCTGTACCTGGATACCACTGAGTGCAAAGCTAGCCTGGAGATCCCCAGAGCCTCCCCGTTGGGTCCCAAAGCCAGCCAGCAGTTCCAGTCCCCACAGGCAGTGTGTCCAACTCACCGGCAGAGTAGCCAGGCAGCTCATGAGGGTGACTATCTATCAATAGTCTAAGCGAATTCTCATCTTTGACCATCACCTTCTCAATTCTCCCCACCTCCCCACCTCCCCTCCAGCCTGCACTCTGGGTTTGAGGTTCGCCCACCTTAGCTCCGGAGCCCAGCTGCTCTGGGTTTGCAGCTCCAGACTCACAGTTCCCTCTCATTCATGAACCCGCTCTCAAGTCCTGGAGCTGTTTTTCTACAATGCTGGCCTTTCTATACACCTCCACTTTCCTCAACCCTAATTAAAATCTTTAAAAAAGTTAAGGCGAAAACTTAAATTTTATACTTGAAAAATCACAAGATCACTTATAAAAAATTTTGATTCATTCATTAAAATTTTTTTTAAAGATTTATTTATTTTTATTGGAAAGGCAGAAATACAGAAAGGAAGATCTTCCTTCCTCTGGTTTACTCTCCAAGTGGCAGCAACTACCAGAGCTGTGCCGATCTGAAGCCAGCAGCCAGGAGCTTCTTCAGGGTTTCCCACGTGGGTGCAGGGTCCCAAGGCTTTGGGCCATCCTCGACTGCTTTCCCAGGCCACAAGCAGGGAGCTAGATGGGAAGTGGGATTGCCAGGATTAGAACCAGTACCCATATAGGATCCTGGCATGTCCTTTAATCTTTAAAAAAATAAAAATAAACAGCTTATAGTCTGGGGCCCTGCATACTGGCAAGCAGGCTAATCCTTTGCCTTGTGGTCCCAGCACTCCAGATGGGTGCAAATTTGTGTCCTGGATGTTCTACTTCTGATCCAACTCTCTACTGACGGTCTGGGAAAGCAGCAAAGGATGGCCTAAGGTCTTGGGACCCTGCACCCACATGGGAGACCAGGAAAATACTCCTGGTGCCTGGCTTTGGATCAGCTCAGCTCTGGCTGTTACAGCCAGGTGGGAAGTGAACCAAAGGATAGAAGTTCTCTCTCTTCCTCTTTATCGAATCTACCTTCCAAATAATAATAATAAATCTTTAAAAAGCTTATAATCTGGCACCGAGATAATAAAATAAAGCAATTAATAATGTTAACAGGATATACTGACAACCTGTAACTGATCTCTAAGCTCACTCCCCGAGCAACCCTGCCTTTCAGTATTCATGTCCTTGGTTAATTTGCCCCATACTGAACCCAGGCTGGCACCGTGTCACTCTCTTTCACAACAGAACGTAGCAGGGCAGCACTGTGCCAGGCTGAAGAGTACAGCAGAATGACGCCTGGCAGCTCTGCTTTTGCATTCTTGGAAGCCAAAATTTTTGCATTCTTGGAGACAAAACGTCGGGGTACCCTGCTGCAGATGTCAGCTGACCCCACGAAGAGGAACAGGCTCAGCCCGGCCCAGAACCTCCAAGGGGCACGGCTGCAGCGGAGACCAGAAGGAGGCCAAGCAAGCCCACACAACTGTGAAAGATAATAAGCCAGTGGTTTAAGCTACTGTGTTGGAGAGGCGAGGGGTAACCAAAACATGCCGGGAGATTATATGAACCCTGCTTGCCTCTGCCTGTGGGAAGAATTAAGTGATGTTTTACAAAAGAGGCAAAGCCTGAAGATTATCTGCAGTGTAGTAATTAAATGTGGAGATCCAGGAAGAAGAGTGAGACGCACAAAGGCTAGGAGACAACACAAGAGAAAGGCCACAGAGAGTGGGGGAGGAGGAGGAAGAAGGGACCTGCCTCCCCACAGGCAAGAGCCAGGGGATTCTTAGGACAGTGAGCAGCAGACATGGAGAGTGAAGTCTGAGGAGGGACAGAATGTTCAGGAATGAATCTTCATCCAAAAGGATGGGAAATATTTAGAAAAGAACGGAATCAGATTGCAACCTGTCGCCAAGCCCCTGAGTCCTTCCGAGTTGACCCACAGTATTCGTGTGCAGGGCTAAAGCACCGGCTGCTCCGGCCTGGAGTCTTGGGTTGCTTTATTTATAGCACTCCTGTGGCTACCGCTCACTGAGACCGGTGAGTGCGCCTGCCCCAAGGACTGTGCTCAAGTCCAAGTGAGGTCACGTCAGGTACTTATAAACAGTGACACAGTGAGCATTCAATCAGCTGCACTGCATTTACAACATGAGCACTGCTTGGGTATCCAGGCACTGCTTCGTGACGCACCAGCTGGAAATCAGGGTCCGGAGCACCAGAGATGGGGAGCACATGCTACCACAGGTCTGCAGTTGGCAAAAAAAAATAACTGTGGCATGATAAAGAAGAGCAGGACAGACTGTGTCTGGAATCTCGAGTTCACAGACTGCTGGTGCCAACCTCTGCAGGCAATGGTCTGTGAGTAGGCAAAAGTCTGAGACCAAGGCCAAGGCCTGTGGGCGAAGGTCTGCAGTTGGACAACGGTCCAAGGCCACAGGCCTGTGTGCTGTAAGATGGCCTTGAGACAGTCACGTACTGACTCCTGCTGCTTCCTGAGCATCAAGCATTAGCTGGCTAACGTCAATATGGGACACAGCTAACAATGTTTGTGCTACATCAATTCCTGTAACTCTACTCCCCAAGCAATTGAATAGAAGGCTGGGGCGACCTCCTTCCCTCTGGCCACCTGCATCTTTTGTCTGCCTCTTCTTTTCTCCCTTGCACGCCTCCCCCTCTCAACCCTGTTCACGCCGCACTGATCGTGGTAAGATCGCTGGAGGAAAGAGACGGCAGAGGAGGGTTCCAAGCCCTTCCAGCCATCGCTCGGCAACAGAACTGTTCACATCAACTCTCCCCAGCTGTCCCTTCCTCCCATTTGTTCCCTGGCTATTCTAGCCAGCTGAAATCACTCCGGGGAGGGGCGAATGATCAGCAGCCCCCTCACATTAGAACTTACCACTTGTTCACGCCATCTGACCCGGCTCTCCCCGGGCGAGCACCCGGTGCTCAGCACCGTCCACACGTGGCTGTTTTTCCTCACGCTTTCCCTTCCGACCCCAGCAAAGGCTGCCTCTCGGTTTCACCCTAGAAGATCACAGGCTCATCTTCACACCCTCTTCGTGACCCACATTCCTCCCCAGGGGGACCTCGGTTGGTCTAAATGTAATTCACACTTATGCCCAGTTGAAGTTTTCCCCTGAACTCTACACTCCTGTCTGCCATCTGCGCTACAGTCCCATGTGCACATAGCTGAGATCCTCTCCGTTCTGCCTTCAGAGGCCATCTGGAACGCGAACATGACAGTCTCGCCTCACCTCGTCATGCCTGCCCCCCAGCTATAACCCACTGTCATGTCTCGCCAGGACCACCACTAAGCCTTAGTCATCACTAACTTGCCCTATATTCTAACCTCCAAACAACTGCCAGGGTGACGCTCTGTTTTGGTTTTTATTTGTCTGACCGCAAGAATTCCAATCTGTGGATTCACACTCCAAAGGCTCACAATAATGGGAACTGAGGCTCACAGGTCGAAAGTCAATCCAGGTCTCTCCCGGAGGTGGCAGGATTCCAAGAGTGGAGCCACCATCACCAGCCCTGCAGGGCCTGCACTACAGCAGAGCCAGGGCTCAAACCCAGACCCTAAGGGAAACAAGCATCTTAACTGGCCCACCCCCAGAAATGATTTTTGAAAATGTAAATCAAGAAGCCAATGCCATGGCTCAGTTCTCTGATCCTCCCCTTGCAAGTGCCAGGATTCCATAATGGCAACAATTTGTACCCCAGCTGCTTGACTTCCCATCCAGCTCCCTGCTTGTGGCCTGGGAAAGCAGCAGAGGACAGAGGACGGCCCAAAGCCTTGGGACCCTGCACCTGCATGGGAGACCCAGAAGAAGCTCCTGGCTTCGGATTGGACCGGCTCAGCTCTGGCCGTTGCAGCCACTTGAGTGAACCAAGGAATCGAAGATCTTTTCCTTTGTCTCTCCCTCTCTCTGTAAATGTGGCTTCCAAATAAAAATAAATAAATATAAAATTTAAAAAGAGAAAGAAAATGTAAACCAGACCCTAACAATTTCTAGCACATACCAGGTGGAAGATAGTCCTTGCAATTCTACCTACTTGACCTATTCTTTTTAAGAAAAGATTACTTATTTCTATTGGAAAGGCAGATTTACAAAAAGAGGAAGATCTTCCTCTGCTGGTTCATTCCCCAGGTGGCCACAATGGCTGGAGCTGAGCCGATCTGAAACCAGGAGCCAGGAGCTTCTTCTGAAGTCTCTCATGTGGGTGCAGGGTCCCAAAGACGTGGGTTATCCTCCTCAGTTTTCCCAGGCCACAAGCACAGAGCTGGATAGGAATTGGAGCAGGTGGTATATGAACCGGTGCCCAGATGGAATGCCAGCGCTTGTAGTCAGAGGGTTTGCCAGTAGAGCCACCACACTTGCCTCCGAGAGTATTTTTAATACTTTCTCTATGTGATACAGAAACTAAATTTGAAAACCTCGGACCTCACCATGTGACTTGGGTAGCCTTCTCTGTTGTCAAAGTGTTGAGACTGCTAGGGCAAGAACGTAGAAGAAAAAAATTTTCATTGTATATTTTACAGAAGCTGCTAGTCGATCCTTACCCATCCACAGAAAGTAAATTTTAGTCCTTGAAGTGGAACATGGTGAAGCTTGATTTATTATTTTAATTTTTGAGGTATCTTATTCTCATGGTAAATTCTTTCTTGAGGTTCCACTCATTGTTCCATTCCGATACTGACACTGGGGTTGATATTTACTATTTGCTAGGCAGAACAGTGCAGAGGGATCTTGCGTTGGCTGATTCACTCGTTCCTAGTCTGCTGGGCTGGGCCAAAGCCAGGAGTCTGGCCTGGTTTTTAAACTTTCCTATTGGCTGACTGTGAAACATTCATGCTGTATTTACTTGACATTATGTGACAGAGAAGATGTCTGATAGCACTTGTAGAGTTGGGAAAACAGGTTCCCTTGGGCATGTGTTTTTGTGTTTACAATTTCAGTTGGTAGGACTTAAAAAGCTAAGGTATGCAAGTCGGAAGCCCTGTAAGAAACTGCTCCCTGTGAACTTGCCTGACTTTTCAATGATGTGGCTCCGTCGGTCACGTGACAGACACTTGCCCAAATACTCGCCAGGCCTTCCAGCCACCTTTGGCAGTGTTGGGGGTACAACGTGAGCAGGCCCTGCCCTCACAGAGCCTCGATGTGACCTAGTGTTGAAGGGATCAAGCCCTGAGGACACTCCCAAGCAGGAAAACTATGCTTTAGGACTCTGAGAATAAAACAGGGCGAAGTGGCAGAGGATGAGGTCAAGGGGCTGGCACAATAGCTCAATTGGCTAATCCCTTATCTTTAAGTGAAAGAATCTGGTATAGGCACTGGTTCGAGTCCTAGCTGCTCCACAATTTATCCAGCTCCCTGCGTATGGCATGGAAAAGAAGTGGAGAATGCAATTGAAAAAGCACTACCAGCTTACCAGTCTGAACCCCTTGGCTTAGCATGTTGGGTCTCCTTCTATCCTTGCTCTGTGCTATGTCTATCCCAAGTCCTTTCAGTTTCGGGTGTTATTCCTGACAAACACTTTCATTTCCAGTCTTCTCAGTTCCAAACTCAGGGACCACATGATGTCGCCAGCAAGGCCATCTACACTGCTTATCCAGCCACTTTCCTCCTAAGTGAACGACGCTGCAAATATTTCTCCACACGACACTTTCTTGGTCCTTGAACACGACACATCTCTGGAAAGAAAATCCCCCATGCTCCAAACTGCTTTTCCTATCACCTTTGGTCCAAGGTGCTCCTAAAAGACGGTATCTTATAGAAACCCTGGAGGGGTTAATAGATGGAGGTGGGGTGGGGGGGGGAGATGACCCAGTACCTCAAGGCTCTAATTTGCACGGATCTCAATGACTGTGGAACCTAAACACTGTCCTAATTAGCTGTTATTTCCCCATTCCCCAAACGGGCTGTCTTGTCCTGGATTCATCTGTTGTTGAGGAATTTAGGGATCTTTTTTCCCCTAGCCACCTGGGACTGTATATTTAATTTGCTACAGGTCCTCCCGATTAACCGGCGTGGGCAGCTCGGGACTCCATGACCTGCATGCTTCCATTTCACTAAGAAGTCACACATGGCACTGACCCCGGGATGCTGTGAAACACACACAGTCACATTGGCCTGGCGCACACCAGCTCCGGGACACCGGGGAGGGGGGTGTCTCCGGTCCCACTCGAACCCGGAGGAAACAAACTCCCTCCCCGGGGCTGGCTGTGATTCAAAGTTAATCGAAGCCCCCACGAGTTCCTTCCCTTTCTACTAAGTATAAAACGAACACCCATGCCGACAGACTCCGCCTCGACCAAGCCAACTCCTCCATCCTGGCGGCGGACACTTGTAAACAAATATGACCTTCGGGACACAAAACTACACTTAATTTTGCTGATAGGGTGCGGGGTGTGGGGAACCTGAAAAAAGCCCCAAAATCGGTCCCGCAAGACTTTTCAACGACTGTCCACCCCCCAATTAAAAACAAAACAAAACAAAACAAAAACAAGCAACTCGGCAAATGGGTCGATCAGGAGAGCCCGACCCGACACTGCGTCCTGGCCACCCGGGACCCACAAGTGACCGCTGAGCGCCTTTCAACGACAGCAGGGTGCGGACAGTGGCTTCAGGGACCCATCCCGGCCCCTAAGCAGGAAGGCGGCGACTGCAAAAACTTGAAACCGAGAACCCGCCCGCCACCCCACGCGTGAGCCATCGGCCGGGCCCAAGATCACCACCCCCCGGGAGCAGGCACAGGCCCCGCCGCTCTCACCTCAGCAGCGCCAGGAAGGCGGCGGGCTCCACGTCCGGCAGTTCGATCTCGGCCGACGTGGTGGCCATGCCGCCGTTGAACATGGCGTCGAAGACGGCGCTGCCCGCCGCCAGCACGAAGCGGTGGGCGGGGATGCGCTGCGGGCCCCCGGCGGCCGCCCCGCCGCGGCCCTTGCCCAGCACGAAGCGCACATCGCTCAGCAGCTCCGAGTTGAAGAGGAAGGCGAAGCGCTCCTTCAGCGACGCCTTGGTCGCCTGCCAGTTGTACAGCGGCTCCCGCTGCAGGGGCATCAGGGGGCCCAGAGGGGACGGCGAGGGTGGCGGTGGCGGTGCCGCCGCGGGACCCGGCTCCGCCTCAGCCTCCGCCGCCTGATCCCCCGCGCCGGCCTGCCCGAGCGACGCCATCCTCTCCGGTAGCGCGATTCCCCGGGCTACTCCGAGAGCTCCGGCCGTCCGGCCGCCATCGCCCAGGCCGCCTCCCGGAGGCGGGCGCCGCCTCCCTGCCTTCCGGGAAAGGCGCTTCCGGAGGCCGCGCGCCGCCGGCCCCTCCCCGCCCCGCGCGCGGCCGCGGCCGCCTGAGGTGGAGCTGGAGCGGGGACGGTGCGGGGAGGACCTGGGCGTGCACAGCGCCGGCCGGAGCTCCCGGGGATGGAGCTGCTGCAGACCAGGCCTCGGTCACCGCCACCCCAACCAGCAGCCAGCCGCGTTCGCGGGTGCAACGCCCCCGTCTCCACTATCTAGACCAGGTCTGGATGTCAGAGGAGCCAGAAGGCTTGGTCAAGGGAGCCCGTAGCAGTGGTCCCCTATCGTCGTGGCCCGAGACACCACTGCAGATGACCGCCGGCTGTGGAAATTAGAGGAGCGTGGCTGCAGCCCTGGAACTCAGACATCGACCCAGGTCTGCAGGTCCCTCCTGCTTGTCACCGCCCGCCCGATTCTGTGCAACTGGCCCAAGAACTTCCCTTAGCGCGTCTGCCTCTGTCTTGTAGCCCCTTCTGCTTACCCCTTATCCTAGCTAGCACCTGACTTCTGGTTGCTACAGCCAGCAACCCACCATTTGAGTCTAAAGAGAATCAATGGGAAAGACAGTGTCATGTGAGCTGTTCACATCCCAAGCAATATTTAATTCCAAAGAGCCAACTTTGGGGCCAGCAGCTGTCCCCTGCAGTAAAGAAGGCCGAATTAAATCCCCTGTTAAAGGCAGAAACAGGGTGGAATCCTGCATCCCATCTGGGTTCATGTTTCAGCTGCTCCACTTAAACTGCAACTCCCTGCTCATTGTTAGGGGAGGCAGCAGAGGATGGTCCCAGATCTTGGGGCCCTGCCCCCACCTGGGAGACCCAAAAGAGGTTCCTGGCTGGCTCCCATCTTCAGACCAGTCCAGCTCTAGCCATTGCAGCCATTTGGGGGAAGTAGGTCTCTTCTTAGCTCTGGCTTTCAAATCAAACTTTTAAAAGTTTTAACTTTAAAAATTTTTAAGATTTTATTTTTTTTAATTGGGAAGTCAGATTTACAGAGAGAAGGAAAGACAGAGAAAAATCTTCCATCTGCTGTTCACTCTCTAAGTGCCTGCAACGGCCAGGGTTAAGCAGATCCGAAGCCAGGCGCCAGGAGCTTCTTGTGGGTCTCTCACAGGGGTGCAGGGTCCCAAGGCTTTTTTGGGCTGTCTTTAACTGCATTCCAGGGCCACAAACAGGAAGCTGGAAGGGAAGTGGAGCAGCCAGTATAGTAACTGGGATCCTGGCGCATGTGAGATGAGGGCTTTAGCCACTAGGCCACTGCACTGGGTCTAATTAACTTTTTTTTAAAGGCAGAAGGTGGGAAGTCCTCAGAAGGGTGCTTGACCAGGCAGGTATAGTTGGGAGTGCCAGTTCTTTATAAGGAAGTTCCTAGATATGCCAAGTAATCTTAGGAATGAATCCATGAATTACTTATCCTGAAGAGGTGAGAAAGAGAAAAAAGAGAAGTGAATCTCTACAGAAAAATGACAGCTGTTTGATGGATAAAGAAATGGAGACCTGGAAGACTCCCATTCTGCTGGCCCCAATTGAGTAGTTGGCTTGGGTTTTTGAATCAATGCTAAAACCACTGAAAGGTTCTCTGGGTCAACAGCCCTCCCCGTCTGCAGATACTCTACCCTTTCCTAGGAGTCATGCCTGTCTAGTGGAGAGAGTTGGTATCCACTGCCTTAACCAAATTTCCCAGCTTCGCATGACAAGTGTGAGACATCTTGTGCCTGTTGAAGTGCGGCCATGCTCGTAACATCACCCTCACAGTATTCCTGCTGCAAAGGTTTACACAAGAGTCTCGCCGCAAACCCAGATTGTGAGTTAGCTCTCTGTTCCCCTCGTCCCACCTCCCAGATTGTGTGGAGCAAACACAGTTACAATGTGTGACCCTTGAGTGCTAGGTTGGAGAAAATATCAGCTACCGAATGCACACATTTTGTCATTTCCAATACAGAAGTCTTGTGCTTTGTTAACTTCATCCCTCAGGGTTCATTGTTCTGACATCCTATCATAAATGGAATTGTCTTGTTCATTTTCGTTTTGGGTGAAAGATGTGAAAGCCACTTCATGGTTTTCCCTGAGGACCTTTTGTCCTAATTTGTTTCTCATTTTCCCTCCAGAAGCTAGAACTAAGGCAACAGAGCCTGGGGCTGCCGAAGTGGTTGAGATGATATCCTGGAGAGGAGGGAGCTGCAGAGAGAAGGTACCAGAAGTCCGTGCTGACATCCACTTCTTGCCAGTGCACAACTTCTAAGGTACACGCTTGTAAGTAGACACACCCGCAGAGAGAGACCGAGAGAGCTCAATGAGGTGCAAGGTGCAAGATCAACCTGTTTCTGCATACCAGCGAGGAACCATCCAACGTGAAATTAAGAAAGTGATTTTATTTATAAATTCCTGGGAACAATTAAGGATAAGACTTAGACATTGAAAAATGACAGAAGTTATTTATTATTTATTTTCATTTTATTTAAAAGAGAAAGAGACAGAGATAGAAATTTCCTGACTGCTAGTTCATGCCCCAAATGCCTACAACAACTGAGGCTGAGCCATCCTGAAGCCAGGAGCCAAGAACTCAACTCAGGTCTCCCACTGGGGTGGCAGGCGCCCAAGGATTTGACTCAGCACTGCTCTTCCTATTGTGCAAATTAGCAGGAAGCTAGAATAGGAAGCAGACTGGAAACTTGAACCCAGGTACTCCAATATGGAAATCGGGCGTTCCATCTAATTAAACTCCTATCCCACCAAAACGTTATTGCAAGACATTAAAGGAAGTAGAAATAAATGAGAAGACCACATATTTGGGTCAGAAGAATTAATATCACTGACATGGAAGTGTTATTCAATTTCTTATACAAATTTGGGCCATCAGCAGCAGGCTGATCCTCTGCTCTGTGGGGCCAGCATCCCATATGGGCACTGGTTCCTGTCCTGGCTGATCCAACTCTCTGATAATGACTTGCGGAAGCAGCAGAGGACGGCCCAAATCCTTTGGCCCCTGCACCCCACATCGGAGACCCAGAAGAAGCTCCTAGCTCCCAGCTTCGGATCAGTTCATCTCTGGTAATTTTGGCCATTTCAGGAGTGAACCAGTGAATGGAAGATTTCTCTCTATCTCTCTCTCTGTGTGAAATCTGCCTTTTTTTAAAATTATATTTTTGACAATCTTTACATAGTTAATTAGGGCAAAAAGGTTCAAGGGCTGCAGGAAAATGGGCAAGACTATTATTTCCATATTGTTTCCTTCATGTATCTGAGGTCAAGGGGGATTTTAAGGGAAAAGCCCCACCCAGCCTCCCACCCACCCCAGGTCCCTGATGTGAGGCATGCTCCGAGGGCCTTGCCCAAGTGGTTTTGATAGTTCACCAGTTATGAATTGCTGCCAATCTCACCATTCCAAGCACGATGAGGTCATTGAAGAGTCCACTGATTGACATAGTCCATCATAGAGTCTCCGTTTGCTCAGTTTTTCGCTGCCAACATATGGCTGGGGTGGTTGATTGACTCGTTCTGTCCTCTCTCTTTTCATGGTTAGGGTTCTGAGTCTGGTAGTTCGATTGGGGGGATCCCCAAAGAAACTTTGTCTGAGGTGTTCCCAGACCAGATTCTTGTGTGTACTAGCAAGTACAGGGCCCGGCACAGTCTATCGCCCCAATCAGCTGGTGGTTGCAATTGCTGCATTGTTCTGCTACCAGCCCCATTCTCCACTTGAACCAATGGGTGTTGCACACCAGCCTGGTTCTGTCCAGCACACACTCAGCCCTCACACAAACCGGTGGGAACTGCAGCCTAGTCGGAGCAGCCCACAATAACCCCCACCAGGCCCGCCCCCTACCCTGGTTTGCCAGTATGTGTGGCAGCCTAGTCCAGTCTGTCCCACATCCCATTCGGCTCTCATACATGTCAATGGGTATTAAAAAAAATCATTAAAAATAAAACTACAGATTCACCATAGTCATCAAAACTGCAGCTGGCCTCTTACAGAAATTTAAAAAATGATCCTAAAATTAATAAGGGCATGCGAAGGGCCTCAACTAGATAAAACAATTGTTACGAAGAGCATTTTTGAGGGTGGTGGCAGGGAGTTGGCTGGGAAGCAGGGGAGCCAGGACTGCAACCAGCTGCTCTGTTATGGCTGCAGGTGCGGCAACCGCTGCTGCCCCGGCATGTAGTCTTCACTGCACATGTCTCTCCAAGTTTTATCCAACTTTGAAGTGATTACAGAAATAGAAGAGTCTTCATAAGGTGTAAGAAAAATCATAACAAATTGAACAGTCTTAAAATACTGGCAAGTATCACAACCCAAGTTCAAATGAAAGCGATTTTATTTTTATTTTTATTTATTTATTTTTCTTGTGTGTGAAAGAACTGCATCTAATGCAAGGTGTGAGAAAGATCACCCAGACAAATCTCGGATGAATTATTTACCAAGCTTGGTGATGGCAGGGCCCACTAGAAATTGGCAAATGACAAGTCCATGTGACAATCCAGTCTGAATTGAAACTCTGAGAGGAACAAATGGTCATTACTGTGAAACCCATCCATTAAACTAAAAACCTGTGTCCCAGCTTCCCCAGCAGTGTAAGTTATCCTAAGAGACATACAGTGAACAATCTGGACACACCTACAAAGCTGCAGGCATTCACCTTTTCCTGATTTCTCTGTCCCTATTCCATTACTGCTAGGCCTCACCTCTCCTGGAACTCTCTTAGAAGTACACAAATCAGAAATACGAACCATCTTAGCATTAGTATCTTCACTGACTTGCCCAAGCAGTGAACATAGGATGAAGAATACAGACATACAGGGACCATGATCAGAGCTACCTGTCCTCAGAGTCTGTCTGTGGGAAGCCAGAGAGCAAGCACTGGGGGAGGCCAAGAGTCGGAGTGCCAGAGCAGCAGAAACATGCAACCAAGAGAGCAAGCCTCTCCCTGTCATGGGCCTTTGTGGGAGCTTGCAAGGGGAGTGGCTTACACAAAAGCAATAACTGCCCCCTCTCACATAGTTACAGGAGGGGTAGTTGCAGGAGGCGTGGCTTCAAAGCTTATGACCCTGAACTAGCTGCCTAAGACCACAACACCTCAACTTTTAGAATATGATTTTCTTTATTTAATTATTTTGTTTAAAGACTTATTTACTTGTTTTGTAAGTCAGTTACAGAGAGAGGGGGAAAAATAGAGGAAGATTTTTCATTTGCTGGTTCACTCCCTAGAGGGCTGCAGTGACCAGTGCTGGGCCAGGCATAAGCCAGGAGCTTCTTCCATGTGAGTACAGGGGACCCAAACGCATGGCCCATCTTCTACTGCCTTCCCAGGCCATTAGCAGGGAGCTGGATTGGAGGTGGAGCGGATGGGACAAGAACTGGCACCAAGATGGGATGCCAGTGTTGCAGGTAGCAGCTTAATTTACTGTGCCACAAGGCTAGCCCCTATAATACTTTTCCTCATGCAGTCTTGGCTTCTTGGTTTTTTTCTTCCTTCCTGTCTTCCTTCCTTCCTTAGATTTATGTATTTATTTGAAAACAGAATGATAGAAAGAGAGGAAGACACAGTGAGAGGTCTTCTATCCATTGATTCTCTGCCCAGATGCTTGCAACAGCTGGGGCTCGACCAAGCCTTAACCAAGTTTCCAAGCTATCCTATTGTAACCACAAGAGACCAGAAGCTTGGAACTCGATGTGGGTAGCAGGAGACAAGTACTTGGGCCTTCCACTGCTCTCCCAGATTCATTAGAGAGGGCTAAATGGAAAGCAAAGCAGCTGAGACTTGAACCAGCACCTTGTTATGCAATGCCAGGGTCACACACAGCAGCTTAACTTACTCTACTGCAGTGCTGGCCCCTGGCTTCATATTCTTCCAGGGTGTCTCTGTGTGAAAATGATATTTGCAATATCGCTATCTAGGAAACAGAAAAGTTATTTATGTATTTCTTCCAGCATGGTCAAGAAGTTTGTTATTGGTTGGTTACAGAAGTTTTATCAGTTTCAAAACTTGTTGCTGCTAATGTGTGTATTTTTAGAATTAGTCCAAAATCCAGAGCTCCTCCAAATGTTTTATTCTTTAAAACATGTATTTATTATTATTAGAAAGGCAGATTTATAGACAGGAGAGACAGAGAAAAGGATCTGCCATCTGCTGGTTCACACCCCAAAAGGCCACAATGGTCCAGGTGAAAGCAAAAATCCAGAAGTTTTTTCCAGGCCTCCCACGCAGGTGCAGAGTCCCAAGGCCTTGGGCCATCTTCAACTGCTTTCTCAGGCCAGAAGCAGGGAGCTGGATGGGAAGCAGAGCAGCCGGGACACAAACCGGCACCCGTATGCAGGTGCTTGGAGGTGGAGGAGTAACCAGTGGAACCAACAGGCTGGCTGATGATTCTTTTCACCATGACTTGTAGCAACCATTTACAATTCTTGTAGAATTTCAGCTGCAGGCATTATGAAAATTTCCATTGTGTGTGATTATCTGTCATTGTGATCAGTGAGCTACCAAGAATATGCCTTGGGTACGCATTTGACCTAGAGGTTAAGACATCCATGTTATGTATTAGAGTAACTAGCTCCAGCTTCCTGCCGATGCAGACCCAAAAGGGCTACAGGGGTTGAGCCCCCAGCTCCCACGGGGAGACCTGGATGAGTGCTTGGCTCCTGGAAATTTGTATTGTGACTCAGGATATGGAAACTCTGTTTTCTCTGCCTCACAAGTTAAAAGATTTTGAGAGAAAGAATATTCTAACTGGAGAGAAGATGCCTTTTCCTGACAAAGTGTTCTGAAGAACCAAATCCTCTATACATTTGCCTTCTCATGGACTGGAAGGACGTCCCCCAGACTGGCTTCTGGCGCCACAGCCCTCTAGCCTCATCTGCCTCCATTACTCATGTGCTACCGAGGCTGAGTTCTCGACTCCTCCCCGAGTCTGTGGGTCGCGTACCGAGAGGTCTAGCTCTGTACCTTTGTGTCTCGATGCAAGCCGGGTCAGCATAGTGTAGGGAGAGGAGTATTACTGCAAGCTCTTCTGACACTGTTACCCGGCACGCGTGACTGCCAGCCACCCCGTGATGTCCTGTAAACCTCGTGCATCGTGTCCCTGACTCAGCTCTTATTGCCAGAGATGCTGCACTGGCGATACAACGGCGTTATCATAAACCACTCAGCAGAAACAGCGGTCTTAACTGATTCAAATAGCTTGTTTTGCAAATTTTCTCAAAGTATGACTTCATGGGACTGTAGTGCTGGCCCTTCCTTCTACCCTCCCA